ATCTTCTTCTCTCTCTCTCTCTCTCTCTCTCTCTCTCTCTCTCTCCGCCATCCACAGACCACCAATCTCTAACAATAACCCCCATTTGTAGTTCTTCACCTACTTTCAGCTCCTCGTCTACGCCAATCCGACGTGGAAGGACCACATCCTCCTCGTCTGCGGCCTCGTCATCTCCGCCGCCGCCGGCGTGCCCATTCCGCTCATGGGCATCTTCTTTGGCCAGCTCATCGACGACCTCAACGAGGCCACGTGCGACGCCCGCGCCCTGTCCGACCTATTCAAGGCCTCCCCCGACGAGCTGCAGCGCTCCGTAAACGCCAAAGTCCTCAAGCTCGTCTACATTGGCATCGCCAGCTTCGTCCTCATCTACGCCTACCTCGTGTGCTGGGCCATCTTTTCGCGCCGTCTCGAGGCCCGCATCCGCGACGCCTACTTTCGCTCCATGCTGCGCCAGGACGCCACCTTTTACGACAAGCGCCAGGCCGGCGAGCTGTCGTCGCGCCTCAATGCCGATATGCAGATTATCCAGTCGGGCACCTCGGAAAAGGTTGGCATCTGCATCGCCTGCACGTCCTTCTTCATCACCGCCTACGCTATTGGTTTCGTAAAGGATACAAAGCTGGCCGCCATGCTCATATCCCTCATCCCGGCTTTTTTGCTCCTCTCCGTCGTCGGCAGCTACTTTACGCAAAAGTTTACCGTGGCCATGTCCAATGCCATTGCGTCGGCGTCTTCCATTGCGCAGGAGACGCTGTCGCACATTGCTGTCGTGCAGGCTTTCAACGCCGGACCTCGTCTCGAGGCCAAGTTTGCCGCCGCCATGGGTCTTGCCCGCGTCTACGGCATCAAAAAGGCATTTGTAGCCGCCTTGCAGGCTGGTATCCTCTACTTCATCGCCTACTCTGCCAATGCACTTGCTTTCTGGCAGGGAAGTCGCCAAATCGTCGAGGCCATTGGCAAGGACAACGGCACCTCGGTCGGTGACATCTCCATTGTCATTTTCCTGCTGGTTGATGCCTGCATCATCTTTGGTTCCATTGCCCCGTACATTCCTATGCTCGGTGCCGCGGCCGCCGCTTTCCGCAAGGTGCGGCAGGATATCGAGGCGCCTGTGCTCATTGACTCTGGCTCCAATGATGGCGAGAAGCTTCCCACGACCACTGCCGGCGGCATCAAATTTGACGGCGTCTCCTATGCGTACGTCTCCCGTCCTGACCGCCCTGTTCTGAGAAACGTCTCTTTTGAGTGTCCTGCCGGCAAGTACACGGCCCTTGTAGGCCTCTCTGGTAGTGGAAAATCTACCGTTGCCGGCCTGACTACGCGTTTGTATGATCCTACCGAGGGAACCGTCACGCTCGACGGCCACAACCTCCGCGATCTCAACGTCAAGAGCCTGCGCAGCTTCATGAGTCTTGTGCAGCAGGAGCCCTCTCTGCTCAGCCGCTCCATTCTCGAAAACATTGCTCTCGGTGTGCTGAACTCGCCTTGGGAGCATCACCAAAAGTTCCAGGCCATTATTGAAAGCCCCGTCTTGGCGCAGCTTGCTGAGAAGCTCCAGGAAGGGACGGACTTGGATGCGGCTGCGCAAGAGTTTGGTCCCGATGTAGCTCAACTTGTTGATATGATTCGCGAGGCTGCTAAACTCGCAGACGCTGCCTCGTTTATTGAGAAACTTGAGCGTGGCTACGGCACTGATGTCGGTATCAGCGGCAAGCTTGTCAGCGGCGGACAAAGACAGCGAATTGCTCTTGCACGCGCTCTGATCCGCGACCCCAAAATCTTGATTCTCGACGAGGCCACCGCGTCGCTCGACTCTGCAAGTGAGCGACGCATCCAAGTGGCCGTCGAGTCCATCGCCAAGGATCGCACCCTCATTGCCATTGCCCACCGGCTGTCCACCATCAAGAATGCCGATAACATTATTGTCATGAGCAACGGTGTCATTCTCGAGCAGGGCACACACAGTGAGCTCATGGCTCTCAATGGAAACTATGCCAGCATGGTTCGTCTTCAGAATATCGAGGCGGAGAAGCAAGACGACAGCGTCTCGCTTGCAAGCACTGACCGCGGCGACATTGAAGCCGACGTGCGGGAGCGCGACTCCATTGCCAAGGACGATGAACCTGTCAAGGTGCATGATTTCATGACCGACGCCAACGGTCAGGCTGCACCGGAAAGCAAAGAGACTGCTGCCCCAGAGGATGACCTGGATGCCAACAAGTCGACTGGCACAGTCCTCCACAGCATGTTCAAGCTCATCCGGCCCAACCTTCTCTGGCTCTTGGTTGCCATTTTTGCTGGTGTTCTCGTCGGACTCACCTTTTCCGCTTCCGGTCTCATTTTCGGCAACACCATTGGCAACATCAATTCGTGCAACTCTACCGACCACATCCTCTGGGCGGGTCGCTTCTTTGGTGGCCTCTTCTTCATGCTGGCCGTCGTCGAGCTGCTCGCCAACTCGACGAGCTGGTCCGGCTTTGGCTACGTTGCCGAGAAGCTCCTCTACCGAATCCGTGTGCTCACGTTCCGCTCGCTGCACCAGCAGGACATGGACTGGCACCAGGCCAGCGGCCGCACGCCCTCGTCTCTGCTGTCCGTCATCACGGCCGACACGGCCGCCGTGGGCGGCTTCAGCGGTTCCATTGTCGGCACCATGTTCTCCGTCATGATCAATTTTCTGGCCGCCATTGTCATTTCGCACATTGTCGCTTGGAAGATTGCCATCGTCCTCCTCGTGACTGTGCCCCTGCTGCTCGGCTCCGGCGTCATGCAGATGCGCTCGCTCTCGCAGTTTGAGCGCAAGCACGCCAGCGCCTTCTCCTCGGCCCTCGGCATCACCGTCGAGGCCATCAACTCGTTCAAGACGGTGTCTTCGCTGTCCATTGAGAATGAGATCCTGGGCACGTACCGCCGTGCGCTGTACGGGCCGCAAAAGGAAATCACAATCTTCAGCCTGTGGACCAACTTTTGGCTCGCCATGGCCAACAGCACCTGCCAGCTCATCTACGCCTTTGCCTACTGGTGGGGTTCTACGCGCATCATCAAGGGCGAGAACACGCAGACGCAGTTTTTGATCATTCTGACGGCGATGCTCATCAGCGCGCAGCAATGGGGTCAGATGTTCAGTCTGGCGCCCGAGATCTCGCGTGCGCGCGCCGCTGCTTCCCGCATTCTGAGCCTGATTGACCTTGACTCGGCAAAGAAGCTGCCACGAGAGAAGGGAGGTGCAGATGTCGAAGCCGATGCGGAGCCTCCTACCAAACCATCTGGTCCGAACCGGGGTTCTACAATCGTCTTTAAGGATGTCGCCTTTTCTTACCCCTCTAGAACCAAGATTCAGATCTTAAAGGGCATGTCGTTTACCATCAACGCGGGTCAGTTTTGCGGTCTTGTCGGTCCCTCTGGTGCCGGCAAGTCCACCATTCTGTCTCTCGTGCAGCGCATGTACCGTCCCACCGCCGGCGTCGTCGAGGTGGACGGCGCCGACATTTGCGCCCGCGAGGGCACCGAGTTCCGCGACGACATTGCCGTGGTGCCGCAGGACTGCGCACTGTTTGAAGGCACCATCAAGTTCAACGTCGGCCTCGGCGCACGCCCCGGCGTCGAGGCGACCGACGCCGAGATTGAAGAGGCGTGCCGGCTGGCCAACATCCACGACACAATTGCCGCTCTCCCCGATGGCTACAATACCGAGTGCGGCCCCAACGGGTCGCGTCTCTCGGGCGGCCAGCGCCAGCGCCTGGCGATTGCGCGCGCGCTCGTGCGCAAGCCCAAGCTGCTGCTGCTCGACGAGAGCACCAGTGCGCTCGACGCCGAGAGCGAGCGCGCGCTGCAGGAGGGCCTGGAGCGGGCGGCCAAGGGTATCACGGTGATTGCCATTACACACAGGCTGCACACGGTGCGCAAGGCCGACGTCATCTTTGTGGTCGAGGGCGGTCAGGTGGTGGAAAAGGGCCGCCACGATGAGTTGGTGGAGAGGAGTGAATCGTACAGGGTGAATGCGTTGTCGCAGATGCTGTCATAAGTTGTTGATTTTTGATGCTGGACTGCATGGCTAGCGCTCTCTCGTTATCTTTTCTTCATGTATTGAATGCGCATTCTAGAGTTTAGAAAGTTTGTAATAGTAGAAACATAGAAAAGTTTTGCATTGCCAGAGACAGGTACTCTCGAGCTTGATCGGACATCTCTCCGCCAGCACATGTCCGTACTCTCATCAGTCCAGCTGGGATTTCCTGCAAAATGTCAGCTTGGTATGATGTCTTGGAAAACCCGTCAGCTTAATTAGACAATATGCGGCCGCCGCCGCGATGTAACGCGGGCTGCGGGAGCTGTCTTGGTGTGACTGGGTCAAACCCGCATCATAGCCGAAACAATGGCAATGGTATCGAAAGTGGCTGACGGCTACAGTAGCCAGATGCAACAGTATAGTTACGCTTGAGGATCGAGATTAAGAGTAAGGATATCAGCAATGAAGACTTAAAAAAAAAAAAAAAAAACAGGTCGGCGACCACGTACGGCCGGCCCCGGATCCATACCGCGCGTGGCTGCCCAAGGACGGCTTGGGTAGCCTTTTTATTGAAGCTAATGCAATGGGAAGAAGGAGGATAGAGTCACTTGGCTTGTCGATTGGCGTTGAAGGCGTCACATTGATCTTGGTGAACTGCAAAGCTTGTCTCGGCGCATATAGGCGACCCCCACTACGTCGATTTTTCCTGTATCCGTGTCTTGGTAGCATCAAGTGACCGTGACAGTGTCACATTGCGATAATAGCTCGAACTAGTGGTTGTATAAGTGATGCTCCCGCACTCCGTCGTGGTACCGTCCGTACAAACGCAGCTGTGGTATTCTCAGGGCCGTAGGGAGGAGGGGGCAGAGGTTTCCTAGCCACGTAAAGCGTATCTCGACGAAGTATCGCTGAGAGTATCTTTGACCTACAATATAAATTTGAATCGTGAATCTTCTTGTTGAAATGTCTGTCGGGAAAAACCTGGTAACCAAACTCGTGCCAAGCTGGTGCAACTATTGAGATGCCATGTGCTTATTCGTGCTCTGTAGTACCTACTGCCCACTCCAGCAGCCCCTCAGGCCTGCCGAATACATCGCTTCTCATTGGGCCCCTGCAGGGCGCAAATCCACGCGGCACCAATTAGGTAGCACCAAGCAAAGCAACCTTAATGCCATCCACCAAACCTTCACACCCATCCATCCGACACTGTCCGGACGAGTAGCACCAACTTAAACCCGTCTTTACTCGAACTCTCGATGCCTTGAGTACCATTTTCCCTTTGTCAACCTCGACATAAGGCGCCAACATTCCGGACCCTGCCTACCCAGAGCGTCCCTCCTCTGTTCCTCGCACCGTCGCCGTCGGCCCTTCAGTAGCACACCGAAGCCACGTATCTGGACGACGCTCACGTAGCCGCCCCAGCAGCGAGCGAGGAGGGATCCTATCCAAATCCATCTCCAACGACGACGCCATCGAGCTTCTCGAATATCCCGAAAAACCTCTCCAGAATCCGCGAGAGCAGCACCGCCGCGACAAGCGTGAGACGAAGCGCCTCTGGCTCGAGGCTCAGGATGAGATGAAGTTCTCCCACAGTATCCAATTCAACGCCGTTCCGGACTGGAGCAGCCACTACATTGCCTACAGCAATCTCAAGAAGCTGCAAGTCTAGACCTGCTGCATTCTTTGTATTTCCAAATCTGACCCCCATCGTAGCATCTATAACCTCGAGAAGAATGCTGCCCAGGCCCGCTCTGGCGACCACGAATCACGGCCCCTTATCTCCGGCGACGAACCCGAAGATGTATTCTCCAATGCTCTGGATATAGAACTGGAAAAGATCTGCTCCTTTTATGTTTCCAAGGAGGGCGAATTGCATGACGAAGTCTCCCAACTTCTCCGCGACGTCGCCGAACAGCCAGCGCTCGACTCATCAGCCACCTTTCGCCGCCGATCCGAGGACGTGAACCGCGCCGACCGCAGCAGCCACTATGGTCGTACCACGAGCGCCACCGAGCACACATCCGACGACGATGCCGGCGACGAGACGGCTAGCGAAGAGGAGGACGAGAGTGCAGCCCTCACCCATGCTAGAGTCCAGGGTCGCCGCAGCACCATGCCCAACTTCGCGCCGCCGCCCACGAAGACGGGTCCCTCGTCCGACATTGGTCGCGCTCCGTCTTCGCGTCGACACAGCACTACATTCGACGACTACGGCGAGACGAGCACCGTTTTCGCTTCGGCGCTCTTCCCTTCGGCCATTATGCTCAAGAAACGCATTATTGGCCTCTATGTCTCACTCTGCGAGCTCAAGTCGTACGTGCAGCTGAACCGCACTGGTTTCAGCAAGGTTCTCAAAAAGTTTGACAAAATCATGGACAAGGAGCTCCGCAGCACGTATATCAAGGCCAACGTGGACACGGCGTATCCCTTCAACGAAGACACCAAGCAGCATCTCGAAGACTATATTGCAGAGATGGAGTCGGCATACTCTACCGTTGTCACGGGCGGTGATGATGCCCTTGCCAAAAAGGAGCTGCGCTCGCACCTCCGCGAGCATGTCGTCTGGGAGCGCAACACTGTCTGGCGAGACCTCATCGGAATCGAGCGCAGAGGAGAGGCCGCGCGACTCGGCTCTCTGCTTCTCGGTTCCGACTCGAAACAGGCCAAGCGACTGCAAGGAGATGATGACAAGACGATACCAATGACCAATATTGCCACACCTTTTGGTCGACTGAGGTTGCCTGCGTGGATGCTCAACTCGTCTATGCTCATGCTCCTGCTATCTACGGCCGCCTTTTTAGCTCTCCTCATGGTCCCCATACTGAAGCACCCCGAGCAGCAGAACTGCCTCGCCTTGCTGGTTTACGTGAGCTTGCTGTGGGCGACAGAGACGCTTCCGCTCTTTGCCACCGCGCTCTTGATCCCCTTTCTCTCTGTCATTCTCCGCGTCGTGCGCGACGAGGAGGGTGAACACCATCGCCGTCTCAATGCCAAGGATGCCACGGCCGCCATCTTTGCCTCAATGTGGAGTCCCGTCATCATGCTCCTGCTCGGCGGCTTCACCGTCGCCGCCGCATTGTCCAAGTGTACCATTGACAAGAAGCTGGCCACGCTCGTCCTCAGCAAGGCGGGCACCAACCCGCGCGTCGTCTTGATCGCCAACATGCTCGTCGCGGCCTTTGCTTCGATGCTCATTAGCAACGTTGCCGCCCCCGTGCTGTGCTACTCCCTTATTGACCCCATGCTGCGCACGCTGCCCTCTGACTCGCCCATGTCCAAGGCCGTTATTATGGGCATTGCCTTGGCGTCTAATATCGGTGGCATGCTCTCGCCTATTGCGTCGCCACAGAATGTTGTCGCAATGGGCATCATGCAGCCAGCGCCGACTTGGCTGCAGTGGTTCTTCATCGTCATTCCCGTCGGCATCGTCTCGATTGCTGCAATCTGGATGCTGCTGCTCGTCACTTTCAAGCCGGGCCAGGGCACAGTTATTCAACCTGTGCGACCGCTCAAGGAAAAGTTTACCGCCGTTCAGTGGTTTGTCACCATTGTGACGCTCATAACTATTGCGCTCTGGTGCGCAAGCCACCAAATGGAGGACATCTTTGGGGACATGGGCGTCATTGCCATCCTTCCTATTGTCATCTTCTTCGGTGTGGGCATTCTCACAAAGGAGGATTTCAACAACTTTCCATGGACAATCATCATTCTTGCCGCCGGCGGTCTGTCCCTCGGAAAGGCGGTGCGCTCCTCTGGACTTTTGCACACGCTCGCCAAGGTCGTGTCGGACAAGGTCCAAGGCATGGGTGTCTATGGTGTTTTAGTCGTTTTTTCGTCGCTGATTCTTGTGATTGCGACCTTTATCAGCCACACCGTTGCAGCGCTCATCTTTCTCCCACTCGTCTACGATGTCGGTACGGCCATGAATCAGCCTCATCCCAACTTGCTGGTCATGGGTGGCGTGCTGATGTGCAGTGCCGCCATGGGCCTACCAACTAGTGGCTTCCCTAATATGAGTAAGTTTTCGTTGCAACATGCGATGGATGCGGGCTTAGCTAACATGTACCACAGCCGCTATTATGAAGGAGGATGCCACAGGTCAACGGTACCTTCAGGTCCAGCATTTTATCAGCCGCGGCATTCCCAGTAGCATCTTAACACTTGTTGTCGTCGTAACTTTGGGATACGGCATTATGCAGGTCGCTGGGCTTGATTAAGAAAAGTAAACTAGTTCCGATGTTGTTGGAGCTATCCGACCCTGTGTTTGACATGAGACAGTTTCGCAAAATTCATCAGCCAATGCTATATCCAAGCGCTCATAATCGAGCGTACATCAAATTCTACTGTTTCTTCTATTCCAATATATGATGTTTGATAAGGTATCACCTTGCACTGTGGTATGAAGTGGTGGTATCAAGCTGAGCTACCTGTCGCGTCGGGCCGTGGTAGTCAAAACCGAGCAATGTGCGGACCATTGCATAGACGCCACAACTTTGGAGGTGTGCTAGCCGTGGAACTAATTCGAGCAACTTGAAAGCTCATAGAACAAAAAAGTTATAATCGGTAGTGCGTTAACGATGCCCCAGTGTCGGAAAAGACAATGGCGAAGTCTCATGCGGTAATCCCTACGTCACAGTCAATATTTGGAGGAGCAATAGGCATGGCATCAGCGATTACTCATGTACAGCGCAATCATAGCGTCACATATCTCAGATACTACATGTATATGGTCTTTGGTCTCTGTCACAATGATTTTAGCTGCCATTGCAATCGTAATTTCTAGTTAGGAACTTCCTGCCAGCTTGAGCAGTGCATCGAAAACATGGCGTCGCAATTTGAAAAGGGTATGCATACGCGAGGCGTATATTTCATCACAAACGATTACTGATTATGCCTCTTATTGATAAGGACATGAAATCCCCATCACGAAGCAAAGCTTTCCGGGCAAGGAGCACGACATGCCCGACCCCAAGCCTACCCGCGACCAGCTCCCCAGCACCGGCGGAGGTGCCGAAACATACCGCGCCGCGGACAAGCTACGAGGCAAGCGCGCAATCATTACCGGCGGCGATAGCGGCATCGGCGCGGCCACGGCGCTGCTCTTTGCCAGGGAGGGGGCCGTCTCGACGATTGCGTACCTCCCAGACGAGGAGAAGGATGCGCAGGACACACGCAAGCAGGTTGAGGAGATTGGCGGGACCTGCCACCTCGTTGCGTTGGATCTAGTCAAGAAGGAAAACTGCAAGGCCGTTGTGGACTTTGCCGTGGAAAAGATGGGCGGCATCGACATTTTATTCAATAACGCAGCCTGTGAGTTCTTTGTCTTTGCCAAAGCGGTCGCGCCCTTTCAAAAGCTAAAAAAGCGTTCGTGTTAGACCAAATGATGTGCGAAGACATTGCCGACCTCTCCGAGGACCAGTGGGAGCACACGTTCAACATCAACATGCACGCCTACTTTTACATGGCAAAGTACAGCCTGGCACACATGACCAGCGGCGGCACCATCATCAACAATGCCTCCATCAACGCCTACGTCGGCCGTCCGGACCTCCTCGACTACACCTCTACAAAGGGCGCCATTGTGTCGTTTACGCGCGGCCTCAGCAACCAGTACGTTGCAAAGGGCATCCGCGTCAACGCGGTAGCTCCAGGACCCGGTGAGTGAAAAAACAAAAGAGAAACGAAAGTAACTCCATGAAAATGAGACCTTTCTTGCTGATGGTTTGAGGATGTAGTGTGGACGCCGTTGATACCGTCGACGATGAATGACAAGGCGCAAAAGGAATTTACGAGTCCGATGGGAAGACCGGCGCAGCCGTCGGAGATTGCGACGTGTGTGGTGTTTCTGGCTTCGCTGGATAGTTCGTGCGTTAGCGGGCAGACTATTCATTGCAATGGCGGAACTGTGGTTAATGGTTAAGTGGTTTGTGGCCCAAAACCAAGATGAAATAGTTGCTCAACGTAATCAAAAAATGATGTTCGTGTTGGAGCGTTCAATCATTCTCAAGTTGCAGGTCAGACTCTTCATGTAAACAGAGATGCGGGATCATGTGCTCAACTTCACGATAGTCACTTGAAGTGCAAAAGCATGAGCTGAGGTGGCCATCAAAATACTCACTTTTCACAATCAGATTCGGCACTCAGGAGCATTAGATGGATGAGACCTCATCAACTCATGCAGCTCTCATTGACGGTGTCAAATCGTTGGGTGGAGCCGCCAGCTACTGGCAAGAAAGAAGTCGCTTAGTATTTCCGCGTCATAGATGCTTGAACCCGCATTTCTTCCATTTCGAGTACTGAAGAGGAGATCATGCTCCGGGACACAATGCTCGGGCGTGATGCCCCGGGAGTAGTGCGAAAGAGATAAAGCTAGAGATGGTGACGGCATGCACCGTCATCGCGATACACCCCCACCGCAACCACCAAATGACTTGATACGACTGACGTAACTGGTCTTGTATGCTCAATGAAAATTTACGCAAATGGCAAACGCTAGAGCGGTTCAACCCGAAGCATAGACTTGGAAAGAAAGGGCTAAGATGGACTACATAAAGCAGATCATCCTCTTGTTCCTCATGGAACGACACCCCAATTGACCCAAATTCTTGACAACGACAACAATCACAAAAACACCATGGGATATCCAGACACTTTCAGCGGCTTCTGCGTCGACGGGCCGAAATCGTGGAACAAGTTCCACAAGTCGGAACTAAAGCCCAAGCCGTTTGGCGACCACGACATTGACGTCCAGATTGACGCCTGCAGCATCTGCAGCTCCGACCTGCACACAATCACCGGCGGATGGGGCGAGTACGAGGGCCCGCTGTGCGTCGGCCACGAAGTCGTCGGCAAGGCCGTCAATGTCGGCAAGCACGTCCAGCGCATCAAGGTCGGCGACCGCGTCGGCGTCGGCGCCCAAGTGTGGTCCTGCCTAGAGTGCGACCTCTGCAAGGACAAGAATGAAAACTACTGCCCGAAAATGGTTGACACGTACAATGCGCAGTACGAGGACGGGAGCTGGGCCCACGGCGGCTTCGCGTCGCACATTAGAGCGCACGACTACTTTACGTTTAAGATACCGGACAAGCTCGAGACCAACACGGCAGCGCCGCTGCTGTGCGCGGGCATCACCACCTTTTCACCCATGTACCGCGCGGGCATACTCGACTCGTCAAAGACGGTCGGCGTGGTGGGCTGCGGCGGGCTGGGCCACATCGCCATCCAGCTGGCCAGCCACATGGTCGGTCCCCAGGGCAGAGTCGTCGCCATCACGCACTCGTCGGGCAAGGTCGACGACTGCAAGAAGCTCGGCGCGACCGACGTCATCCTGACGGCGCAAAAGGGTTGGAACGAGCCCTGGAAGGCCAAGTTTGACTTTGTGCTCAACTGCGCAGACGCCACCGACAACTTTGACATGGCCGCGTACCTGTCCATTGTCAAGCCGACGGGCGATTTCCACATGGTGGGCATCCCCGACGGCCCGCTGCCGCAAATGTCGGCCGGGCTCTTTGCCGGCGGCGCACCCAAGCTGACTGGCAGCCATCTCGGGAACCACCAGGAAATGGACATGATGCTCCAGTTTGCGGCGGACAAGGGGATCAAGCCGTGGGTCGAGGTCATGCCCATCTCGGACAAGTCGCTCGGCGAGGCGTTTGAGCTGCAAAAGGCCAACAAGTTTCGCTATCGCTGCACGCTGGCGCAGTTTGACAAGGCCTTTGGAGAGGAGCGCGGTCAGTGAGAAGATTGTCTGGTTTGATGGAAAACAGGGGAGAAAAAAAAAGTATAGAGAGGTCTGGCGATGAAATTGAGAGTCCCATACACACAACAATTAATTGTCGAGTTAACCTGCAATGTACAAAAGCGAGCGCGAGGAAGCTCACATAACGAGGTAACCCGGAGGAAGCAATAAAGTCCCTCATTGTACCAGGCCAGATGCAGAGAGCAGCTTTCTTGCTCGAGCGTGGGACATCCATTATCACGAGGCAATTGTTCGCTGAGCTCGGCGACGCGACTCTGCTGTTCGGTCACGGCGTGACAGTGGAATCGCAGGAGCCATAGCAACATGTGCAACGTATATTCATTTGGCATAGAGATTTTTCCACCATGTACATAGATATGAAATAAGAAACGACAAAAAAAATAAAGCTTAACCACTCCGGAGCTCAGAATGCGTCACCTCGACCAACGACAACCGCTTCCTCCTAGTTCTCACCACGCACCATGTGCAAGTATCCCTAAAACGCCGCGCTGCAATCTTTCCCGCGCCGTGGCTAGGATATGAAAAAGTGGAATGATAACTGACTAACAAAGACGCAATGAAAAGCACAATAAGTAACAATAAGACATATCAAGAAGTAAAGCGAGGTAGCACAGAGTACATGATGCGCTGCCAAGCATAAGTCAGCCAATTTTCTCAACAACGTCTACTATCGAGCGGGCGCGGTGTTGGTTCGCCTTCAAGAATACTGGTCGCTCGCGGGGTGGCGTCCACCTCATCCTGTTCTTTGCTGTCCAGCTTCGGCGGTGTCGTGGTAGTGCCTTGCTCTCCTGCTTGCCCGTCTTGCTCTGATCCGTACAAGATGGGCGGCACCTCGTGCGATGGCGTTGTGGCCACCTGTGTCACCGTCTCCGGCGTGCTCTCAGACCCCATGTTCATGCTTTCGTGGCTGTTGGCTCGCATCATTTCAATGCCCAGCTTGGAGCTTGGAAGTGGTGTTTTTCCTGACAAGGCTTTGCTGCCCCGTCGTGCGTGGTGCTTTTCCTTAGAGTGGTGGCCCCCTTCTTCATCCTCATCATCGGCTGAATCGGTGCTGTCCGAGCTTCTGCGCTCTGAGGCTTCTCGTTTCGCTTTGAGCTTGTCCAGTGATCGCACAGCTTGCTCCATCTGGCTAGGAGCGGACTGTTGCGTCAGCAGATGAGGCACCTTCGGTGCACCTTCGGTTCCAGGGCTGAAAATGTCAGATTCAGTGATTCCCAGCCCTCCTTCTTCCCAGTCGCCCGTAGGCTTGCGACTAATAACAAAAGGGGAGTCATCCGTCATGGTAGATTCAGAGTCGCCGAAAACGCTCGATGTCATCGAATTTTCACAGCTAGACATCATTGCCGAGCCTTGTCTTCCAGCGAACGCCGAGACGCTCGATGTTGGACTGTCGTCGGATTTGGCATTTGGTTTGCGGAGGTTCAGGGGCACGGGAGCCGGTGCTACTGAACTGGAGCTTGAACGCTGGGGCGACTCGGGCCGCCACTGGCAAAGTCGACGAAGCACCTCACCCAGTTTCGATGAGCTGATAGGCTTTTCGATCAGCGAATCAAAGTATTGGGGTGCTTGCAGCTCCTTCAAATAGGACGTGATAGCAACAATCGGAGTGTGGGCGTTGGTGTTTTTGGTCTCGCGGATCATCCTTGCGACGTCGGCACCATTGATCTGAGGAAGCCTGAACTCGAGAAAGATGACGTCAAACTTGATTTCACTCATAGAGTATCGGACAGCTTCAGAGCCGTTGGAGACGGAAATGGTACGACATCTGAGCTTCTCGAGCAGCTTTTCCATGACCATTCTGGATACGGGGTGATCCTCGCAGATGAGAACATCCAATGGTCTGAAAGTTGGGGCGCCTCCATCAAATGCAATCTGTGAAAGGCGTCGCGAGCTTTGTCGGCGCCTCTGCACCCGCAGTAGTGCACTGTGCCTGTCTCCTTCATTGTCTGACGAGGACGGTGACATGTCGAATACCTGGCTTCGACGATTGCGATGGTGCTGATGAAGCATGTCGGTGGCCACAGGGCTCGATTCGGTGGAGCCAACTGTAAGCGAGCGCGATCGCCCAGTTGAGCTGCGCGGCGTGGAGAGCTTTTGAGGCGAAATGGCCAACTGCTGCGGTGTCGGAGCTTTGCCCTTGACAGGCGATGCACCAATAGTCGTGGCGGCCTTCTGTAGGCCGGGTGGCACTTTTGGAATGTCGATTGGCGGCGCATTTGGCTGCAAGGAAGACGATTGTTGTGAGAGACTGGACGCGTTGCTGGAAGCCTTGCGACGTCCATCTGCGCCTCCGGCAACAAACGAGACGAGCAGTGGCGAGGAAGGTTGGGAGGCCCGGCTGGGTGACGGAGTCGCATGGCTATATCCAGACGGAGATTGCGGTCGGTTGCTGCCCTTGGCGTTGGACAGGGTTCTCTGCAAATGGTTTGCAAGAACCGGGCTGCCCTCCAGTGAAGGCGAGGATGATCCGATACCAGCAGAGCCGCTGCTAGAAGACTGCTTGTTTTGGGCAGCCAAAGCCTCAGCACGCAGCTTTTGAATGACATCCTTGTTTGCCTTTTCGAGCACAGGTAAATTCTTGAATGAAAAGTTGCCAAAGTCGTCTGTGGCCAATGGCTCGCTGAGACGTCTAGACTTCATGTCTCGCACATGAGGGGGGATGTGCAGCGGCATGAGTTTGCGATTCATCGAGTTGACTTGTGACCTGACACGCGACAGTGCATCGTGTGGTCGATCAGGGTAATCGGATCCTGAGACTGACTGGGGCGACATCTGGTCTTCCATCTCTTCAGCAAATGACTGTAGCACAGCGCCTCGAGCATCAAAGTATTCAGTATCCTCGGGGTTTTCAGGTTGAGGGATAAACTGCGCCTCATCTTCGAGTAGGGTATCCCAGTTGAGGCCTGTGAAGAAGGCATGATGACGGATCTCATCGCCTCCAGACGCATACTTTTCCTCACGGTTGGAACCTAGGCGTTGTTGAGGATCAATGCAAAGCAGCTTGTTAATGAGGTCTTTGGCCTCATCTGATACCGTCTTCAGAACTGATTCATCAGGCCATTGAATCTTGCGCGCCAGAATATTGTCAAACACTTGCTCGGCCTCACTGGCATGAAATGGAGGGTAGCCAAAGAGAAACTCGAATAGAATGCAACCAACAGACCACCAATCCGACGTTTCGTCCTGTTTATCACCGTTGATGGTCTCCGGTGCAAGATAATCGGGTGTGCCAACGAACCGTCGGTTTGTGTCCTGGGGATCAAAAAGCGCCATCGGCGGTGGCATCATGTTGGTTTGTGGAATCGAAGAGTTCTTAACATGGCTGTCAACGCTGGCTCTGGTACTGGACAGACTGCCCGGCATATCGGGCGACCCATGAATCATGCCGTAATCGTCAACGGGTGACTTGGACGCCGCTAGACTCGGTAGTCCAGGATCTGAGTCGTGGAGCGAAAAGTTGGACAACAGCTGCGAGAGGGATTCGCTACCGCCACTATCGCTGCGTCGTCCTCCTGACGCTCGTCGAGGCTCAGTCAGCTGGCCTAGGCTGAAATAAGACGGCTGGGGCATGCTGCCGACATCTGGAGTCATCTGAGGAGTCATGGTTGGCGAATGGACTTGGCCTTGAAGGTCCAAGGACGTGGAGCGTGAAGAAGCCATCGAGGCCGATCGCACAAAGGGGCCTTGCTTGAGGAGATCGGGTGTGGCCTCGCTTGTCTCACTGTTCAGCGCTCGTTTTTGACGGCCAACCAGGCCCATTCGTGAGAGACCGAAATCAGTGAGCTTCAAATGCCCTTTTTGGTCAATCAGTAGATTGTCCGGCTTCAAATCTCGGTGGATAATGTCGCGCTCATGTAGATGCTCGACGCCAAGAATCACTTCGGCGAGATACTTTTGTACCCAGTCCTCGGGCAGGCCGCCCAGTACCTTGATCAACGCGGCACAATCTCCGCCGTTGAGATACTCCATGACTAAATATAAATAGTCTTTGCTAGAGAATGTCCAGTAGAGCTTCGCGACGAACTCGCTCTGGCCCTGCCACATCATGATGGCCCTCTCCGCTTTGACGTTACCAACTTGATTCTTGGCAACCATATCTGCCTTTTTGAGTACTTTGATGGCAAAGTACTCTCCAGTAGACTTCTTCTTGGAGAGGTAGACACTTCCGAAAGCGCCTTTGCTGATGGGCTTGATAATTTCGAAGTCTTTGATAGATGGCTGATTAGACCGTGCCTGTGGCGGCGCTTGGCTGGCTCCCAGACGAGGAGACGGCGGTGGTCGCATGACGAAGTCGGAAATGGCAGCTGAAGACTGCCGCCTGTGGTGTCGCGTAGGATGAGCAACAGGAGAACTAAACTCGCTGCTGGGAAACATGGGCGACACTTCCGGGGAGACCATGGCATCGTGGGGGGCGGGAGTGATGCGAGGCTTGATTCTCAACGGCGAAGAGGGTTGTGTGGCACCTCTAGACGGTGATTCCTGACGGCGCGGCGATGTAGCTCCAGGAATGATCAGGCTCCGCCTCTGGTGTTGGCGAGCACTGGCAGCACGTCTAAGATCGCCAAATTCGGACATTGGCGAGTCATTTCTCGGCGCGGTTCTGGATACAGAGGGCGATCGGAAAGTTTCGTCGAGGTCGCCAGGGTCGCTTTCCAACCATAGAGACGAGCCACGTCGGCCGTCTCGAGATTGGGTGGATGCGCCGCCGAAATAGGATCGTGGTGTGAGGCATTCTTTGGGGCTGGCAGAGCCAGTAGACGCAACGATAGAGCTTGGTCGGGAACCGCCTTGTACAGCGGCCGACAAGCTCACTTGACGTAGGGCAGCTGCCAGTGCTGAGGGGCTGGTGACAAGGTGGCCAGTAGAGCCTGTCTCAGATCGGCCTCGGGAGCGCGAGCCCGAGACGGTGTTCTTATCAGATTCGGCCACGGGCTCTTTTCTTTCATAGAGTTCAGGTTGTGTGTATTGCTGCTGCGGCTGTTCTTCTTGTTGCTGGTCGTCGGTGTCATCGATACTGGAGTCTGTGAGCTGGCCCGCTGCGATACGAGCAGCCTTTCTCATAGCCTCCTCGACGCAGTCTTGGACAAGACACGAAAGCTCAATACGAATGCGTTCAGAATACTCGAGAATTTTACGGTGGCGGAAAATAGCGTCGACTTTGTTGCGAGCAGCCTTCTCCGTGTCGGCACATAAGAGAGCCAAACCCTGCTCTTGTTCGAGAGTATTGGTGCTGGGGGATTGCCAGTGCACGACTTGTGATATACGGGACTCTGACTGGGGAGACTGTGTTCGGATCTCGCCGTCCTCGAGGTGCGTCGAGTGTTCCTTAATGGTGGGGTTGCTGATTTCGAGAGCAGTGTCGCACAAATCCATCAGCAGTTCGACGATTCTCGCCTGAGGTCGTCGAATGGCAAAGGAGCGTCCTCTAGAATGCCCAAAGCCACTTGTACGATCTCGAGAACGAGCGAGGGACGGACTTGGCGACGATTGTGTAGAGGGAGGTGGCCCAATAGGCAACCCCTTGTATTCAGTGAGTGGTGCCAGTTGTGGTTCGAGTAGTCGACTTTGGCGAGTCTCGAGAGCATCAAGGACTTTGACAATAGCATGGCGGTGCTCAACAAGGCTCTCTTGCGCCATCTGGACATCCATCTCGGCTCGATGCTCTTGGAGACAAAGATCGGTATGTTTCTCAAACCACCATGGAGGGATCTGACGTTCGCAAATTCGGCAAAGGACCGGTGGAGGGGGGTCGAGGGGTTCCGAGTCTTCTTCGGCTGACTCGGCGAGCTTGGTCAGATACCCAGCCAGGACCTCGGCACCCGAGCCGAGGGAATCGACAATGACATTGGGAAGGTCGATTTGGATTTCTCGCGGCGGTGTCCATGGACGGATCATCCACATAGTCTAGGCTAGTTAGTTGAATACCATAGCGGCGAGTGTCGTTTTCTTACGTGACTCTCGCCTCCAGAAGCACTGTCATAGACCATGATACCTTGTGCTTCGAGCTCGGCGAATTCCTCCTGTTCTTCCGGTCGAGATGCTTCTTGCTGACTGTCTTCCTGCTCGGGGTTGTCGGGAGTAGCATGCTCTGCTAGAGGATTGAGACGCAGCCTGGATAGGGGACCCAGACGCATGGTAAATCTCACACGATGGCTCTTGGAGTCATCGCGCTTCATGGATTCGACAATGTCGGTAAAGGCGGTCTTGTTGTCGCTGACGATGAGATCGGAGAGCAGAGTGCCGTCGAGAGAGTCGTAGGGGGTGCCGACAACGTCGTTCCACGAGGGACTCACCCACTTGATGGTGCCGTCGAGATTGAGGTCGACAATGACGTTGAGCGTCTGGGCGGCAGCTTCCTGAAGCTCTTCTCTCTCGTTTCGAATGTCTTGGCTCAGAGAACGGGTCATGAGGGTGGAGTCCAATGTGCGAAGTGTCGTGAGGGCCGGGGGAGCCAACGACTGCGACGGGGGTTCCATGGCTGTACACTTTGTTCAATCGGAGCCGCAAACGGTGTCGAGATGTCGAGAAATGAACGAAGGCGTGTGGCGGCGCCAGCAAAAGGCCAGACTCTCTTTTCGAGGGCTTGCCGCCACGGCGTTGGTTGTTGTTGGGCGTATACGAATTGGTGTTTGCGGCATGTAGCTGGCGCTCTCAGTGGAGGGGGAACTGGCACGGCGCCAGGACTAGAGACGCGGAAGGCCTGGATACATGACTGGCAAGAATCTCGGAGCAGAAAAGTTGCTCCCGAGGAGTTGGTTGGGGAGGGCAGGTCTGGAGAGAGCTGACAGAACGGAGGCGCGGAAACGTGAAAACGGGCGGCGGACAAGTGTTGTCTCGATGGGTGATGGCGGCCGCAGGGCAGAGGGTGGATGTACAGTTGACTCGGCGAAAATGCTATCCCGCAGGACAGCTTCCTTGCAATGCAGAAGCAGCCGGGAAGAAAAAAGAATAGCAGGGAAGTGTCACTATGGAAGAGATGGCAGAAGCAGTGCGTCGACCAAAAAAAGCCGAAACAAAAAAAAAAGGGCGATGCAGCGGGATGGATTGACCCTCTCTGCTTCACGATGCACTGTGTGCCGGCAGGCGTACGAGGTACTGTCGCGTTTCCCAGGTCTTCCCATGACATGTTAAGCGGGGGTATTGATGATCTAACCAATGGGAGCGATGAATCGGAGCCTAGTAAAGGCCTCTGCATGGGCATCTCCCTGGTCTAGCTAAATAAATATTTCGGTACGGTAACTTAGTGGATGACTATTCGCTCTCGGGGTGGCTTGACTTGACGCATGGCTGGAGGACGCCGGTCGACAACTTGTGGTCTGCCATGACTGACGCGGAGGATAGTCCGGAGTTTTGCAGCAGCCTGTCTGGCAACCACCGACTGCAAGTGCGACTGTAACTGACGACTGACTGATGACCTCGGTTTTTATGAGTGCAGTTTATCAGTAATTAACTTGAAATCAGTAGAGCAAGGAAGCATTTACAGTCACTCCAACTACCAAGCTTTGTTAGCGTGCACTAACTACTACCTCTGAGCTAAGTTACTCTGTACTGTAAATTGAAAGTTGAGCTGGCGCTAAATAGGTAGTCAATCCACAGCTCGTACCTACCTAGGTAGGTGCAAGACAAGCCGGGCTACCCTAACAAATACCTAGGTACGGATTAGTATTCCAGCGACAGCTTCACGGCACAAGAATGTGCCAACTGGCCAATTCACAGTGGTACCTGTCAATCTCACGCGGGGCCTCGGATGCTCTTGTTCTATAATGCAACATTATGAGTTAACTACCAGCAGTAGGTGCATTCCGTCGTCATGGCTCTGCATGTAATTTATCCAGACAGCCACGGGTACCTGTGGTGGGCAGGCTGGGCCTTGTCTAAATGCGGCAGCCATGGCTTCGTGAGTAAGGCATAGATACCTAGGTAACTCACTTGAAGGCTGCGCACAGCACACCACCCGGCTGCAGCGGCGCCGGCCTGTACAATGAATTTTCGAAGATGATGAATCAAGCGGCGCTATAATCTGCTCATCATCATCCCACGAGCAGGATGCGCTGGCAAGAGTTCTCAAGCCCCATCGTGCCACCTTTTGGACTTGCCCGACACCACACCACCAAACTCTGCCCACTCGTTTGTATGCCAGAATATGCAGCCAGCAACGCTCTGCCAAAGGCAAAAAAGAAAAACAGAAAAGGAAGAAAAAGACCATGACGAGAGAAATATGCGCCACCTGGTCCCATGGCAATTGATTCGGTAACTCAGACACTAGAGTCCACAACCACACAGCAGAGAAGCCCCATTGATGCGCATCACAAGCCTCCAAGCATGCGTTTCGCATATACAAACAAATCTGCCAACTTCTCCACCGAGCAATGGCTGCGGTCTCAACACAAGTCACCGAATCTGGTAGCTTGACCCTTGAGATGTATTACAGCATATTCTCCAGAATCAATTCCAACCAAAGGATACCTTTCGAATAGGTCTCTGCGTTTGTCTCTGCGTTCGAGAACATGACTCCTGCCACCCACCTCAATACGCCCAGAAGGCGGGGTCACACCGTTTGGTTGCCTGCCAACTGCGTGTTGTGCCAGCTGATGGTGCATTCCAGATACAGGTAGGATACAATCGGCCAAGCAGCAAACCGCAGCAAACCTTTCTCGCACCAGAGCCCCGGGCTAGGAGCAGCGAATGCATGCCAGTGACCCTGCGATTTCGGCAGTTTTACCATCACACTCGTAAATTGCTTTGCCATGCGATGCTGCGTTGGCCGCAAAAAGTATAACTTGCTGCACCTACCATCGATCTGCGCGGGGCCCAGCTGACATTGAACAAGGTTGGCACATCACCAACCACATCACCTCGCCTTGACTTTCGGCGAAATCCGACAAGAAACAAAATTGTAAAACATGAAACCTCTAATAAAATCACATACAACTCGTGTTGATGTAAGCTTCGTATTCAGCTTGACTAATGGCTGGTGCCGCGCACCAAATGCGCAAAATGCCTGTCCCGCCTCCGCACCAGCTCCTCTGGCACTCCCGCCTCCACCACCTGCCCGCCCTCCATCACCAACCACCACCATGTCGGACCCGGGACAGATGGTGTCGATGCGATGGGTCACCGCAATCACCGCGCACTTGTCAAACTTGTTCCGCAGAACCCGCTACATAGCGGCGTCCATCTCCTCGTCGAAGCTGTCGTCGTCTCGTCCGGCAGCACACCGCCCCGCGCATTCGACAGCTCTGCCGCTGCCCGTGGAACAGTGACGCCGTCGTCATCTCCGCGTCAAGCCCACGGCCATTGTTTCCGCTCTCAGCCAAGTCCCAGAGACCGATACGGCGCAGCACCGCCTGGATGTTGCCGTCGACGTGCTGGCCTGCGGGGTTCGTGTTGAAGCGCAGCGTAGCCATCAACACCGATGCACTTGCGGCACTGTCACGAGCCGTTTTCTCTGATAACAACCTCTCCTGGTATTGTGGCCAGGTCATATCCATCGATTTCAACGAATCAGTTGTCAATCTCAAGCAGCCGCGCAAGCGTAGCCACAAGCGAGCTCTTACCACTGTGCATGCACATGACTAGTATAAGCTGTACTTGCGAGCGAGCGACATCTAACTTGCCTTCCTGAAACGTCCGCAGACACCAATTTTAAGGCGTGTCGCGATTTCAAGGCTATACTGATTGATCCGAGACTGTCGAACTGTCAGCGAGCTTGCGCGACTCGACAAGTCATGAGACAGCGACGTCGAACCTGTGCGACGCAGCCACGCCACGCATTTCTATTGTCCCCTCAGCCGGCCACGACTTAGGTGACTCGTGTACTTCCCCGGTTGATCTTCCGGCTTGACCTTTTGCAAACGGTCGAGGCTGCGCAATCGCTCCCAGCGACGTCTTAAACAGTGTCCAGCCACCAATGATGGACACGAGGCTTGCATTGGGAGCTGCGGGGAGGGCTGGGTCAGCATTACACTCGCTCAATTGCCAAGAATACTACAAGAGCACGTACACGGATATATCTCAGGGATACGCCGAGGAGAGCGGGGTTGGTGGAGGACCGCAACAGCAACGCCAGCAGCATCACAATGGTGGCCTCGGCAGCGACGATAATCCAGCTCCATGTTCAGACACGTATACATGCGCATGAATATGTGGACTGGGCGCTGTAATCGGTGAAGAACCTATTGGCGACTTTCTTTGCGGTGCAGCGCCTACCCAACGGCGCGAATGATTCATACGCTATCGAAAGTTTCAAGAAAGTTGGCATACAAAGGCCCGCGAATCTCAGCTTCCTGAGACGAAGCCGCTGCGACGCTTAGAGGTACAGACTCTCTGCAGCATGTACACAGATTCTATGAGTAACGGAGCCGTAGCCGCCATGTAGCGAGACCCCATTGCGATGAAAGCTGTCTCTGCAGTCGCGCCCAGCGGATCTGAACTTGTCGACGACGGCTCTCCGCAGACAGGGGTAATACTTGTATCTTACTTGTCGTTGTTACCAGCATCCCGGTAGCCAAGCGCGTTTCTAGAAGGCCCATATCCTGGCTGAGACGATTTAGCGTGTCGCCTGTTGACGTGGCCGTAAAAAATGGCTGAGCTGCGCTATCGACGAGTCAGAACAGGAGCTATAAAATGCATGCTATACTTGCCGCATAACTGTTTTTAAATCAAAGGTGTTGAAAGTGCCGCGCTGCCGACGGTGTTGTTGAATCAATATTGACCTTTGCTTTTAAGCTGTGACTCATTTATGCTTACATTTTAGGTACCGGGCATAATCGGCGATGCCGAGAATATCTATCTGCAAAGAGAGTTATCTGGGCACCTCGTCCATTGATCCACTAATTCATCCAGAGATATCATATTGTCAGCATAGTGCAGAGATTTGGTGCAGGTCCAAGAATCGTGAAGCGACTTGCAGAAGTACCTTGCTGCAAAGACGTGGACAGCAGTGAAGCCAACAAAAGTAGCTGACTTGGGCCAGCCAACAGACTCGAAGTAATATCGGGAGACTACCAAATATCCAACGCATCAACGTAACTTTGCTCTCTCGTTCGCCTCGGACACTTGATCTGACGCTGCAGAAATCTCGGCTTCCTTGATCTTTTCATCGTTGTGCTCCTCATCCGCTACAACCTCGAGCATATCAAGGGTAGCTCCAGCGCGAATCAGCTGATCGTACGTCTCATTGCGTTCCAGTCGACCAGAAGGGAGTATCAGAATTTGATCTGCAGTATGCAGCAGGAATATAGCGTACGTCGCGAAAACGACAATGCAGCCGCGCTGCTTCAGCTACCAAAGCTTATGCACACTATGCTTGCGAAATCTGCCATCAACCGCATTGACAAAGTCATCAGAGACATTTCTTTTTGCGCAAGTAAACATCGCTCGAGCTAGGGATACTCTCTGTTTCTGTCCGCCGTCAAGAGCCCGCCACTGCTCATCATGTTGGTTCTGTCACCTTTTGGCAGGCACGCAGGATCGCTGCAGGGCACAGGCGTCCAAAACACCTTCGCGAAGTTTAGTGTCTATTATCACGTCATCTAATCAAGGCCCATGAATTGCTTTTCTTGCGGTCTTGTAGGGTAGCCGCGGCGATTGTGAATAATACACAGCTGATTGGTCTTGCATCGTGCCTCGCTCCAGTTCTGCTCTACCTAGTACCTAGTTACATTCTAACCTTGTGAAATTACCTAAAGCGGCGCTGTCATTGATACCAGTTATTGTTCTGGATACAATCGAGAAGCTCTCGTTGTGCAGTATCGTTTTGTTTGCGCCGGCTGGTCTTGTGAAGACGCCTTGAAATTGCACAGCCAGTGTTCCTGCTCTCCCTCCTTGGATTGGCTGGGCAGGTAGAGGCTGGAGTCTAATACCAGAGAATCCTTCATGCAGTTTGCTTTAGAGTGAGTCGAGTTAAGATGCAATATCGGGTGCCCCGATCATCCGTCTAGAGTCTTTTCGTGGTTTTGGCAGAAGGAATGATAGGACTCTGTACATGCAGCCGAGACTAAATACCATCGCCGGTACGACACTCAAGATCTGTGCTGTAGAGTATTCCAGTACTGTAATTACTGAAAAACTCGTGAAGATCTTATCAATGTCGAGGGATCCTGGATTGCTGAGCGCAAGCACAGCCAAGGTGACAGTGGCTGCAAGTGCCCAAGTGATGTTTCACAACGTATTCTGCCAGGCAAGGTACCGGAAAGAATGTGTCAATTTTTTCGTCTTGCAAACTCTTTCTTGCTAGATGCGGTCTGTGGTTATTTCGGGGAGACCTATCATTCGAAAATAGCGGACATTAAGAAGCATGGAGCTGGTGGTGTGCAATCCATCTTGGGACTGCATTAACCTAATCTTCTTGACCGCCGCTCATCGCGGATGAATTTGCTTGGCAATTGGAAATGCAATTGGCTAATTTCAAGTCCTGAGTACATTGTTTGGCATCTGGTATTTTATATAGACGAAGAGGGCAAGTGGCACGACGCAAAGCTAGCCGAGCTGCTTCGCCAGCATGGCCAACTCATCAGCATGACGGCGGCAAACTCGTCGCCGACACCATCCGTGACAAACCGAAGCGTTCCAAACACGGTAAAAATGGTCTTGTGCCGTTATTCTTTTTGTTTGTAGTACAATCGCAAGACAGCCAGACCAAGGCAGACAATAGCCGTCGCTCCCACCGGGCCATAGCAGTCTGTTGGAATCGGCCTCACATCATCGTCAGTCAATAGTGATATTATCGTATAGAAGAGATATGGCTGCGCAGAGATGTAATTTATCGAACGGAGCCGACGAGGCATGATGGAAAGGAGGCCGCTCATAAAGCTGTGTTCGGAATGCTCAGGCGCGAGCCATTGCTCTTTGTAGCAATTGGACAGCAGCGCATCATCCCGCGCATCCAGAGGGTCCGCGCTTGGGGCATTTCGAGCAGGATGGTGATGGTCAGGTACAGGCTGAGGAGGGTCAATGGTCGCACAGAGCGAGCTCCTCAGTCCATGACGGTACAATCATCTGAAAAGGAGATTCAAAGTCGTGGCCGTGGTCGAGGCTGGACGCTTGACGCCGCTGACAAGACTCCATAGTACGACCAAGGACAGCTAGGAACATGCGAGCATATAGGCAATAGTCTACCACGAGCATTCATATTGGCTGAGGCTGCATTCTCAGGCTACTGGCCAATTCATCGAAACAGAGTCGACTCGGCCGAGCCGCCGTTTTGCGCTCTTTTAAGGACTGATATCCGGGCCGGAAACACCACGAAGAAGATAGCAGCGACAGCCAAGGTGAAGATGATCTTCTACTAACGAACAGCGATATAAACATATTTGGACTCCCGGCCAATGATCGTATTGAGACCAATGCCTAGTCTCTGCCAGTCGCTGTGGCGGTACAGAAACCCGTCAATTCGAAGGTGATAGGCAGGGTCTGCCAAGCGACCGAATATTGCGTCGGCAGCTGTACAGTAAAAAGGCAGTGCGCCCTTGTCTAACTGTAAGCCATATCTTGTTACTTCTCTACGGTACTGCAGTGCAGAAAGCTGGTGGCTTTTGGTAAAACCAAGTGCTGGGTCAAGCAATGTCGGGGCTGTTAAAGCGGCGTGACTCGCGCCGAGATTCGTTTAGGTGCTGTTGATTGCATTCATCAAGTTGAAGGATTCTCACAGCGCAAGCCCTAACTGTGCATGATAATGGATCGAGTCCATCATTACCGGATGAATCTTGAGGCGAAGGGTGGGCAATGCAGCTGAATGGAGACTGGTGGACAAATTATCAAATTCTCGCGCAAAGGGCGGCTGCAGCCACAAGGGCGGAAGATCACTTAGCAGCGGTATTCCTGCAAGGCCTCGAGACGATGAGGAAATCCATCGGATACTAGAATGGCGTTGATTGAAAGAGTACTGCGGATACTCAATCCATGATCGGAAAAGGTATTGTGATGCGCCTATAAATAGCTTTTGGGACGAACTCGCCATTACAGTGTAACGTTAGACCCTTTCCTTAGTTACTCTCAAGACCTCAACTCGGCTGGTCGGCATCTAGTACCTACCACTCTGCAACCAATCGCTGTTAATTGGATGATCAGCTGAGGTCCGTGTATGCCGAGTTCGAAGCAGCCTTGAAGCTAATTAAGACCAAATTTGCACTGAACGCGCGAGTCGGCTGAAAAGATGGGTTATGGCCGTGCTTGAGCAGCACGTATAAATCGAGCAAGCCGTGCCCATTGTCGTGCATGCCTGTTGGATCTGTGAACAATACTCACCTTGGCCAACATGAAATTCTTGTACGTTGCTTACGCTCTTGCTGTGCCCTCGTTGGCCACTGTCGTTCGGGACGAGAAAGGTAAGAATCTAGTCAATTCCTAGAAATCATACTCACTCACAATGATGGAAAGGATATTCTGGTGGTATAATCTGCCCTCCTTGCCCCTCCGGCCACTGCTGCATCACTGGTGCAAGCTGCGCTCCTACTCCAGGCCTTGGCCAAGCATGCACTGGTACATTCTCATTGATATCTTGACAGAAATTCAGACTGATCCCAAATAGATAGCACTGAAGCACCGTTCCCTGGTGTGTGTCCCTGCTTTGGGGACATGAAATGCGTTGGAGGCATCTGTGTGCAGAATTGACGGACCAATGCCGTTGCCAAGATTGGCCCAGGCAATCGGCTGCTCTTATGCTAAATGTTGCATTTATCGTTGTTTAAGCCGTATTGGGCATGCCACAAGTCAGTGTTAATAGCATCGCATTCTTTGCGCCTCGGTTCAACGGATCTTGTGCGCAATTGTTGTCCGCGGGAAATTCCCACGATTCCTAGCTTGACTATTTGAATGATTCTGCACGCAACTGCTGTCAGCTGTGGCAGTGTAGGGCGAGTGTGGGTTGGGCGGGGATGCGCCCGTTTAAGTTATATGTCTCCTTTACCTCTCGCCAATGAATGGCAACGGCGGCAAAGTGTGACGCCCTCGGGAGGCAGCCTCGCTGCTCGGGATGACGTGTTGACACTGCCCGATATTTGGCGGGCAGTCATTAATCATTGCCGCTAATAAATTAGATCTATATAGAGATTGATTAGAGCCCTGAAGGGACTGACCCTGATGAATAGTTCAGGAGTTGATGAAAGTGGCCATACCATCATGCTGCATTGACAGTGGCTCCAGACCGAGCAGCACGAAGATGGATTAGATGGATCACAGAGCCGCGAGTTGCAGCTTGTTGTCCGGCCACTTGTGGTTCAGAATTGATTGGCACCAATGCTTCGCTGTTGACGGATGTGCCTTGGGCCTTTGATACCGCTAACCGCCTAACCAAGGGGGGCCGATGGTGGCAGCAAACAAGGGATCGGGCCAACAGCGTGCCGGCTGGGCTACTTTATGGTACGATTAGTTGGTCCGTCCACTCACAGCCCTGCACCTCACCTTTTAGGTGCAGTAGCCGATTTTACAGCGCCGAGGGAATGCCAAAATCGCACTGTGGCTTGGCCTCAGCACCCAAAAGCCGCTAGTCATGGCCTCCACAGGCCGCTAACGACGTTCTACTGACAGCCTGACAGGCCTGAAAGCCCAGGCCCTGGCCCACTCCTCTCCGCTGCGCCGCCACTTTTCTCAACTCCCGCACTGCTCAATTCATCATGACCGTCATCACAACCTCGTCCGCGGCGGGGGATAAAGACCATTGGAGTCGCCCTCTCTCCATGCGGTCATTTTCACAATTGCACAAGTTTTAACAGACGACCACTGAAACTATTTTACCCGCCATTTCTCCTCTATTCCGACTGCGCTTGAGGCCTGTACCACGCCACTGTTTCTTAACGCCGATTTCGATACACCCCAATCGTCAATTCGACTGCCGGCAGCTCTGCCTGGTGAGCAACCCCTATTCTGAAACGCTGCCTACTTGAGACGACCATCCGGCAGTACCGGTTTCAATTTGCATCACCAACTGTCTGCATTGCCTAGCCTTCAATCCAATATCAATTCTCCCAAGACAACATGGCCTGCTGGCCGCCGACAGCACAATCACCGCCGCACTAGCCACCGCACGCTTGCCCATCACGCAGCTAACAAATTAGTGCCGCAGTATCTGGTTCTAGGTCGCCATTTCCCAGAATACGATACAATTCTTGTCAACTGCGTCGACATCATGTCTGCCTCGTTGTCTCCCGAGCAGTACAGCTCGCACCAATCGCAGAGCCCCGGGGAGGGTTCCGAAGGCAAGAGCCCTGGTGGACTGAACCTCGACTTCTTCAAGAATTTGAACGACAAGCGCTCCAATCGCGGTATGCAATGCGCCATGGACTACAATTCCAGCCCTCTCAGTTCTGACTTTCGCGCCCAGATGGTAAAACGCCGAAGCGTCGCGGCCCCAAGCCTGACAGCAAGCCGGCACTGACACGCCGACAAGAGCTCAACCGTCAGGCTCAGCGGTAGGCTACCGGCATCTTTAATTCCGCTTGGGAATGTCTAACTCGTTCGATAGTACACATCGTGAGCGTAAGGAGCTATACATTAAGGCTCTTGAGGACGAGGTGCTACGACTTAAAGAAATCTACAGCTCCGTCTCGCGCGACCGTGAGAAGCTGGCCGACGAGAACCGTCTACTAAGGGATACACTGGTTCGAAATGGAATCAATATGCCCAACCCTAGCAATGGGCGCGATGACAATAACAACGATCCCAGCGCTGGCTCAACAGGCTTCGGCGGCGGCTCGCAAGGCCCATTCTCGCCCCAGCAGGCCGCATCGCAGGGCTCGGCTCCGTCTGCCGGAAGCAATTTCTCTCGTCAACTGCATTATCGCGGGAATCAATTCAGTACATCTCCACAAGAGCATGTCCCAGCGACCAAACTGGACGTTGAGCAGGCCGGAATCGACTTTGTTCTAGCGTAAGCATTACCAGCTGCACGTACTCAATTTATGCTCATCCTTTTCTATAGACTAGAAAAACCTTGCATGGCTCACTTGCCATTTCTCATGGACAGAGCATCGGGGGAGGAGGGAGACCCATGTGGTCACGCTCTGATGGCATCATGCCCACCTGTTCCGTTTAAGGATATACCACAGTCGTCGCCGTTCGTCGGCACTGATGGAACACCCATCAAGAAGGAAGAGATTCCGAGTCAGGGGACATGGCAGGTCAGTAAAGCTGATCTATCCACGCTGTTGGACCTGAGTAAACGTCTCGATCTCGATGGCGAGATTACACCCGTCATGGCATGGGGAATGATTATGAGTCACCCGCACTTTGCGGCGCTTTCGGCCGCTGATGTTCAGCGCATCGCCGAGGAACTCGGCCGCAAGGTCAGATGTTACGGGTAAGGATGTCTTTCTCTGCTCCTACCTATCTGAAATGCTAACTGGTATAGATTCGGCGCTGTGATGGAGGATTTTGAATTGCGGGACGCTTTTGAAAGTGTATGCTCCAATAGATTGGAGCAAATGGCGTATTAAGTGTAGAATTTGTATGAGAAACGATACCAGTCTTTGTTGTTTTGCTCTAGTTAGATTCGATTCCATTCTAGTTCTACAGCTTCTTTTGGGGGCCGTTGAATTTTGCTTGGTAATCAGTTAGGGCCAGTGCTGCTTAGCACTGGTGGCAGCAGTCCACCGGTGCTGAGAGCTTAGCTGTGATGAACAAAGCAAACCGAAAGAAGAACTAAATCAAAAAATCAACAGTACTATCACTTTAGTACATCAAAATACCTCTTCTACATCCATTTCTGTGAGCTGCACGCGCTTCCTCTTCGCTGGCAGCGTTTCTTGGTGGGGGCTCAGCTGGCAGCCAGTCACAAAACCGTATTCCGAGTTTTTGCCCCACACCCCACCACAAATTCGACTCAACTTCAAATTCAAAGTGTGGGACAAGCGAAAGTGCAGAAAGGCCGACGCAAAAAGAACACGATCTCTTTCGGGTTTCTCAACGCAGCTTTGACGATAGCCTACCGACACGGAAGAGCTATACATCATGGCTAGTTCACTCGACTACGGGAAAATCTGCGGCAGCTGCCCCCCGGGCGATGGCTGGGGCCCCTCCGTCACCACCGAGACGACTCTCGACGGCGTGCCCTATGCGCCCTTCTCCAAGGGCGACAAGCTCGGCCGCATGGCCGACTGGACCACTGAGGGCAAGGACCGCGATCGTGGCGGACGCCAGCAGTATAACCGTAACTACAGAGGTAAGCAAAAATTCATAGAGTGGTGCAAAGATAGAAATATGGGCTGACAGCTTTTCTCCTCCCCCGCTCCAGATCAGCAAGTTTACGGATCTAGTCACGCCGTCACCTTCAACGCTCCTCCCGCCGAGGACGAGTCGACCTTTTCCGTCGTCAGCAACGCCCGCGACTCTACTAAGTCGAGATACGGCCGCGGCGCCATCTTCACTCGTGGCCGTGGTGCCCGCGGCGGTGCCCGAGGTGATACCCGCGGCGGGCGCGGCGGCGCTGCCGGTGGTCGCCAGGTTGGTGGTCGTCAGGGCTACGGTGGCTACGAGCGTGGTGGACGCGGTGGTGGCCGTGGTGGTGCTGGTCGTCGCTTCGGCTGGCGCGACTACGACAAGCCGGCACGCAACCGCGATGCCAGCATCAACATCAAGAGCGACTGGGGCCTGCTGGAGGAGATTGATTATAACCGCCTGGGCAAGCTGAACCTCGAGACTGATGCGGGCGAGGACCTTGAGGACTACGGTTTCCTCTACTATTACGACCGCTCGTACGACAAGCAGCCCGTCAAGGGCAGCGAGAAGAAGCTGACGGCGCTCGACCGCGCCGCCTACAACGTCACGACATCGTCTGATCCCGTCATCCAAGAGCTCGCCGACAAGGACGAGGCGACCATTTTCGCAACAGACACCATCCTGTCTATGCTCATGTGCTCGACGCGCTCCGTGTACCCGTGGGACATTGTCATTACGCGCCAGGGCGGCAAGATCTTCCTGGACAAGCGCGACAACGCCTCGCTCGATATGGTGACGGTCAACGAGAACGCCATTGACGCGCCACTCGACGCTGCCGACGGCGGCCGCGAGGTCATCAACCAGCCGCCCGCCCTCGCTGAGGAAGCCACGTACATCAACCACAACTTTGTCAACCAGGTCGTGACCGAGAGCGAGACGGCCAAGGTGGCCATGGCCAACGCCAACCCCTTCTACAACGCCTCCGAGGACACAGATCCCCCGGCCTCGCGCGCCTACAAGTACCGCCGCTTCGATCTCTCCACCAATGATGAGGAGCCCGTCTACCTCATCGTCCGCACAGAGGTCGACGCCGTCCAGAAGAACGCCATTAACGGCGAGGACCAGCACATGACCATCCGCGCCCTCAACGAGTTTGACAGCCGTGCTCAGGGTAGCGGTGGTGCCCTTGACTGGCGCGCCAAGCTTGTCTCGCAGCGCGGTGCCGTCGTCGCCACTGAGATGAAGAACAACTCGTGCAAGCTTGCTCGCTGGACGGTGCAGAGCATTCTGTCCAAGTCTGATATCATGAAGATTGGGTATGTTTTGTGTCCTTGCTGCGCTTGATTTCTACTGCGTAATGGTCTTTGCTACCTGATTGCTAACATCAATATCCAGTTTCGTCTCCCGTGTCAACCCCCGCTCCAATGACAAGCACGTTATTCTCGGCGTCATTGGCTGGAAGCCTCGCGAATTCGCCAACCAGATGAACTTGTCCCTCTCCAACGGCTGGGGTATCGTCCGCACCATTGCCGACATGTGCTTGAAGCACGAGGGCGACGACGGCAAGTTTGTCCTGCTCAAGGACCCCAACAAGTCCATCCTGCGCCTGTACGCCATTCCTGCCGGCAGTCTGGACGAGGATGAAGAGGAGGAAGACGAAGAGGCCGGTGAGGGCGGTGAGGAGAATGAGGAGTAAAGCTGGGGAGACAGAGACAGACGAAGTAGAGAGGCAAAAAGCACATATGAATTATGAAAGGAATTCAGCCTTGATTTTTGACGGCAAGTGGGGGTCGGGAATATAGAAAAGTTGGGAAGTCATTGACGGCTTAGTTATGAAAAAAAGTAACGAGCAGTACAATGAATGTAGAAGTTTTCAATCTGTTACACATCTTCTTAACGGCATCCGTGAAGCTGCTTCGTTGGTCTCTGCAATATCTTCGGTTACCAAGAATTATATTCCATTGGCCGGCTTAATCGGCTAACTGCCCTTTACAGTTCCGATTATGAGAGTTGCTTGGTCTTACTAAACAGGCCCCGCCGCACGGAGAAGGCCAAGAATTTGGGCGTGTAGAAGATGCGAAATCATATTCGAGTGACTGTTAGCAAAGATCCGGCCCTCAAGAAATCTGGGGGTTTCCGGATCCGAATCTGACCCATTGGCGTGTGCCCAGAGCCCATGCTCGTCATTGGGGGGATTTCTAGTGCAGGCGCGCAGCAGAAACACAACAAAAGACGACACCTAATATTAAGCGCCCAGTCAATACTGCCTCAAGGCCCGAAAGGCCCCAAACGGGTTGTACCAGCGTCTCCTTCTCGGCCGCATGTATGCCAAGAGGATAAAACTGGGGGAGCTTCGTTCACGGGGACACCCGCGTGATTAATCACAAGCACTTGGCAAGCGGGTAGTGTGTAGAAAGCCAAGACCCAAAGACATGATAGCATAAGAATAGGGACAAGAAGCGAAAAGACAAAGTTGGCGGTGAGTATGTTTGAGACTTGTCGGCGACGGGGGACCTGAGTATCTAGGTAGGTACCAGGGAGATGCTAAATACGGTGTAACGACGTTGGGAAAAGGGTTCCTAAAAAGACGCGTGGTTGAGGTGCTGCGGATTCTTACTGGTACGGATACATGTCCTCTTGTTTGCCGGGGGCAGAGCTCGACGTTTGTCTGTGCGGTATGCCGACACAGCGCCTTTGTCGCGGAAATAAGATGGTATTAGGGATGCTGGTTTCCATTTGTTGCTTCTCTTTATAACTACGGATTACCGGGCCGTCTTACCAAAATGGGCTTTTTGTTAATCTCCCAGCGTGTCCACCATAATATTGGCCAGTGCAGATTCAAACTTAACCGTCAACATAGAGTCGGAATTAAAGGGCTGATGGCTGCCGCTGAAATGTTGGGGAAAGCTGTGCTGTGCTCGTTTGCCCCCCTTGTTCCCCCCTCCCAGGACCTCAGCGTCGTGCACCGCCTCGATTATCGGAAGTTCGGCACGCTGAGGGACAGTGCGCTGTACTGGTTTCAGTGTTTGCATGTACTGGTTGCAGCTCTGTTACAGAAGCATAACGAGTTGATGCCGCTTGTTAGATTGGCGCTCAGCCCGTCAGCTCTTGTCCGCTGTTCTGACGGCGACGGTTCAAGACGAGACGAAGATGAACGAACAAACAAGATTCTTGGGAATTCTTTCTGCAAGCCTGATAGCCCGAGATGCGACGCTAATAAAAGTGATGGTGTTGGAGTTCTCCACTTGCCGCTCCATGGCCTTTTGTATCAGAGATATCAAAGGCTCGGGCAACCCGTTGTCTGGTATGCCTATCTGAGTAGTTGCTGACAGTTCGCTGCGGCAATTTCGCCGGTTAGAGCGTATTTGCCTGAAAGAGAGCGCAATTCATCAGAACCTTTACCGCAAGGAGCCTGTGTTCCATATGCTATTTACAACCGCGAGTCTGGCTCTGTACCAACCGCAAGCGACTCTGTCTTCATCTCGTGGTCCCTGCCAGGTACGCGGTACGTAGGCATTATTTGTTGTGGCTGGGCGCACACCTTATCCCTACCAGGCCGGAAGGCCCGCCATTTGCAACCCTAAAAGAGACCTAATCGACAGGAAAAGGACGAGATGTGCTGCCGGGGTCCTGCAATAATGCAACGCCGCTGACGGCGCGGGCCTGAGACACCTTTGCAGGAGCAGCGGTTTGAGGCTAGATAGAGCTAGATAGGCCGACGACGGTCAACCAAGACGGGTCCCGTGGGCGGCCGCTGGAGACCATGATGGCTTCCCGCATCGCCACTAGGCTGTATAGAGAAGTCTGCGCCCCGGAGTTGGGCCGTCAACAGAGACGAGGGCGAGCTCCGGGACGAGTACGTATGCAAATGCCACCACATGCGCGAAGGTGCTCACCTACCGCGCCACCTCTCTCCGTGCTCAGTACATGAATCAGCCTTGCCATTATGCCCATCCCGTTCGGCCTCTTGGTGCCATTTTTTTTTGTCATCTACCGGCATGCTTTGCTAGTGGCAAGACGGCGACGCAAACATGTACGCGTCTTGCTGATGCTCACAGGGCTGGGCGACTAACATCACTGGTCGGTACAATGTGATAGTTATGGAATCCACCGCAAGCTCCAGCCACAGCATAAACTTTGTTCGAGCGCGGATCCCCGTGTACAACATGTTAAGCATGATAATCAAAGACTCGCATTACGACCTATCATTCTGTCTGCATACTTTACAAAGCCAATAAGAAAAAATTCAACTAAAAACAGGAGTGAGCCTGCATCGAGGGACAAGAGACAACTGACTATTCACGTATTACTGTCACCTAAATAGGTACACACGGAAGGCTACTGCGGCATGCAGCACAGCCTCATCTGTCCACTAAAAGACGCAGCCGAGCCACTGAGGTGCGTGTGCCTGGCTGGAGGAAACAGCGCATCGTTGGCCAGCAGGCCCTCGAAAACCCTGGATTTGCCGCTAGGAAAAAGGGGTCCCACTAGGGGAACACTGTATTCGTCCACATTAGTACGCCGCCCACTAAAAAAAAGACCCTCTCCACCGGTCGGCCAGCAAGCCCCTGCGTAGCTTGCAGTTGGCTTTGCTGGACTGCTGCCAAAATTGCTGTAGCCCTTAGAAAGCCCATGGCCTGAAGCCCGCTAAATCAGCTTCAAAATACCGACCTGCCGCTTTTCCGAACCGCGACCCAACCTAGCAGCAAGTCCAGATTACTTGTACGGACTTACCTGCCATCCACCTAGGTCCCCTGTTCACCTGCTTCCCTTTTCCTTTCCACCCGCTTTCTTTTTTTATTTACTCCCATCCTAGTCTTTTCAACTACACTCATCGCGACTTTTACCCCTTTACCTCGTCGCCTCACTCGATTCACATCTCTTCAATATGTCCAACCAGGATTACTACAACAACCAGGGCGGCCAGTACCCCCAGCACCCCCAAGCCGTAAGTGAAGCACTGCCTCGAAGAAATCCACGCCGACGCCGACAATCAACCCGTTCGTCGCAATCACCGCACGACTCAGTCAATGATTCGAGACGGCTTACTACCACTGCCTGCTACCAGCGTCTTTGCATCGATTGATTCTGCGAGCTTGGCAAAGTTGACGGCGCTGGATTGCGTGAACAATTGGAGCTGTTCTCACGCAAACGAAAGCTCACGGTTGCGACGACGGCGACGCGGGCGGCTTTTGCAAACAAGACATACGCGACATGGCGATTTTGTCACCGAATCAGCTTCGCTAACATGACTTCTTAGAGTTATGGTCCTCCCCAAGGTCAATATGGCCCCCCTCAGGGACAGTATCCCCAGGGCCAGTACGGTCCTCCCCAGGGCATGCAGTACCAGCAGGGCCCACCTCCTCAGCAGCAGGATACTCGTGGCAACCGTGGTGGCAGCTCCAACTGCTTGATGGCCTGTCTTGCAGCCCTCTGCTGTTGCTGTGTTGTCGAAGAGTCTTGCGAGTGCTGGTAAGTCGCGCCCTCTACTTCCTCGAGCCCACCCAACCGCGCTGGTTACTGATATCCTACGTGTCTAGTCTGGAGTGCTGTGAATGCCTCTGCTAAACGACGACTCCAAAATTTGTAGAAAATGAGGACATGACGGGGAATTAATTACGACTGCTCCCCTCCGATGACCGCTTTACCAGCTCAGTCGGCCGACTGCTTGGATACAATAGAAGCGACATATGTGGCTTGTCTCCGAGTAGGAGCACATTCCTGTATATACATCCACGATGGCCAATGCGGAAAACAATCATCTCATTCCTCTGGCAGCATTTTCAGCCACGTTCACCCCCAACTGAACGGCTTGCTTATTCGGCTGTTTGAGCCGTTCCCATTTGCGCCGACTCATATCTTTTACGTCTATTCGATCCCTCCACGTTTTCTTTGCGTCGCACCCTTTTTCAGCCTTTTATTTTCCCCAACATTCATGTTCACGTCAATTTGGCTTTTGTTCAAGGGTTAGATTGGACGGGTAAATATGATTCCCTGCACAGTTTTTGAGACAGCTCTTGATTTCCAACCTGCTGGTCACATTTTGCCAAACTCGTCCATGATGCATGTGAATGTATACAGTTTGCGTATCATTGAACAAAGCGGGAAATTGGATCCTGGACAACAGCCTGACCATTATGACTACTTGAGCTTAATTCGTGATAAAAGCCCTTTAGCAACACATTCACGAGATGATTTCATGATGGGCAAGTCCATCACAAGACAAGTAGACTTTGTCAAAATGTAACATTCTACGAGACGAAGATCACCAGATCAACAGTTACAATGAAAAAAGAAAAGGAGGCAAACACAAAATGTTGTCCCACAGCCCGCCGTATCCCTTTACTTTTTTTTTTTAAACAACACGAGGCACATACAGGAATCCAAATTTCCTTGCTCTTACATCATCGACCATGACCTGCTGCTCAGCGGCTCTACTGGTTGAGCTGGACGTAGTTGGCGGGGAAGAGACCCGAGTCACCCTTGTAGTGGCCAAACCACCAGTCGTCGTCAGGGAACTCAAGATTCGTGACTTGCGCATCCTCGGGGAATGAAAGTTCTGCATTGGAAAGATACTTGTTAGTAATCAACTGTTCTCTTCTTCTATATTCCTGTTGCTAATAAAAGGGACATACCGTTATCTTCAGCGGCCTCGTAGTCATACAGAGCAGTGGCAGTATGTCCGGTTGAAGCAGCAGCTGGGGCTGGAGCAGCCGCAGCCGGCGTGGGCACCGGAGCAGTAGCAGGAGCGGGGGCGGTCGGGGGCGGTGAAGTAGCGGCGCCACCACCGGCACCGGCATCGTCTTCTTCGATGAGTTCAACATAGCTGCTGGGGAAGAGACCATTCTCGCCGTGCACATTGGTGCCTATCCACCAGTCGGGGTCAACTTGGTCAACATCCGTGACAATCTCGCCTTCAACTAGGCTAATTTCGTTGTCCTCGTCCTTGTCGTAGTCGTAAAGAATGACAGCACGCTGGGAGGCTCCGCCAGCCGCAGGCGCCGGAGCAGGCGCAGGAGGAGGAGGAGCAGTCTGGTGAGAAACGGTAGCAGGCGGTGGCGCGGGCGCAGGCTCGGGCTCGGGCTCAGGTTCCGGCTCGGGGGTAGGCTCACGAGGCGCGGGCGCAGGAGCGGGTGGAGGTGCGGGAGCGCGAACTGGTTCGGCTTGACGTGCGACTGGCTGCGCCACGAGGATGGGAGACTGTTCACGCTCCGGCTCCTCTTCCTCTTCGTCATCTACAGGTGGCGGGCGAGTAGGCAGGCCAGGCAGAGCAAATCCACCAGATGGACGAGAGCTGGAAGGAAGGGGGGGAGGGGCGACGTTCTCTTCCTCTTCTTGCTCGTCTCCATGTCCAGTGGTAGCACCAGGAGCAGGCGGTGCGCCTCCCATGGGCGTCGCGCCCTTGAAGCGGTCGCGCAGGGCTGAAACACCTCCAGCCGGCTCGTCTTGGCCGCCGCGGGTTTGCTCGTCCTCAGGAATGGCCTGGTTATTCTCGCGAACAGTTTCGGCACCACCACGTCCAAAAGCTGGGGTCTGTACCGATGCCCAAGACTTGCCAGAGTATCCGCTCTTCCACTCCTTGTTGCCACTCGTTTGTTGGCTGATCGGCGCGGGAGAAGATGGCAATGCCGCTCCAGCGCTACCGCCGCTCTCACGCGCCTTTTTCTCAGCCCAAAGCTGGGCAGGGGTCTTGCCACCTTCGTTGGCAAAGGTACGGCTCGTGGTAGTGACGGGCGCAGAGGATGCGTTGGCAACAGGGCCTTGTAGACCAAGGGCACCGGGCGTGGGCGCCTTGGTAGCTGAGAAACCGCCACCACCAAACTTGTTGGCAATCTTGGGCTTGGGCAGTGATGTTAGTCGTTCGGATTGAGCTGGCTGCGAAAAGGCAGCAGCGCGATCAGCGAGAGGCTTCGGGGACTCCTGCTCGGCATGCTGCTCGGGTTCGGGTTGCTCAGACGCAGGCTTCTGCGCCTTTGCGCGAATGGCCGCAATGTCTACCTTGCCAATAGGCTCATAAGCGCCCTTGACGGGGGTTGGTCGGTCGTCGCGCTTCTCCTTCGCCTGGGCGCGGATAGCCGCGATATCGATTTTTCCAACAGGCTTGTAGCCACCACCGACAACATCTCTGTCCTGCTGTTGAGCGGCGGCGGGAGTGTATCGGGAGGGCTCGCTCTGGCGAGAAAGGCTTGACATGTCAACTTTGGTAGGCTTGTATGCGGACTCGACCCTTTCCACCTGAGTTCGAGTCACGGGAGGCGCATCGGCACCCCAACCATCGGCGTCGACATTGTCGTCTCTGCGCGAGCGAGCAGCGACGAGGGGGTTCGCAGAGCGACCAGCACTCAAATTGGAGGGCGAAAAGACGGGCTTAGACTTGATGAGAGGGGGGGCTCTGGCAGCGCCGGCGGCAGGTCCGCCGGCATACTTGGCACCAGAGGCATCGGCGACCTTGCGCATAAGAGCATCGGGTTCGAGATCGTCGTCGGATCGAGCGGTAATTTGAACGTGGTATCCGTGTAGAACTTTGGAGGCAGCGTTGAGGTGGCTGGTGAAGTAGCCTTTTGTTCGCTCGGGCACGCCGCCGCCGCACCAGGCAATGAGGACATGCTTGGGTAGACCAGAGTTGGGGTCCTTGACCTTGACAAAGCCAAATTGGACACGGCCTTCGCTAAAGTCTTCGAAAAGTTCGGTGAGCTCGCCCTCTGCAAAGGAATTGTTAGTAAGCGCGTAGAGATGGTGCGGGTTCATCGGATCGTCGGGGGTTCGCTTACCGCCTGTGCTCTCTACCTTGAGGACGCTTTCATTGCTTCCGGAAGACTCAAAAACGCTGACAAGAGGCGTCTGAACAGTGTAAAGAACCCACTTGGCGAAGGTTGGAGAGCCGGAGGTAGGCACAGCAGCATCGACTACCGAGGTGTACTCCTTCTTAATGGACGGGCCGTTTATGGAGAGGTTTAGGGAAGCCATCGTGTACTAGTGAAAGGGTCAGCGAATACGAACGAATTCCTTTCGCATGACGGATGCGCTTGAGGTTTGCTTTCCCCGATGCGAGGGTGCGGCGGCGTTGAAGCGTACCTACAGGGCTGGTGATGAGACAGCCTGCGAACAAGTTTCCACGGAAGCTCTAGAAGCTTTGGCGGAAGAGAATGGCGGGATTGACAGGGGCCAAGGATAGCGGGGTCAATGTGAAGAATAGAGGCACGAGGCCGGGGAGAGTAATACAGGCGTCTCCTTGACGTGTGCGGACGTGCCGTCGTGAAACCCAAGGGAAGCAAGGTACAGGAAGAAGGTTGGTTGAGGGGGTCGGGAGCGTTGAGGATGGAGGAGCTCTGAGCTCGGCCAAGTTGCTGGAGGCGATTGACGTACGTTGCGAGCCGCAGCAGCAGAGGAAGCGGGGTGGCCGGTTGGTGCTTACGACGGGGCGCTGCAGGGCGTCGTGGGAGACTTTCCAGGCTGCAGCTTTTGATTAGCGGTACCAAGGTACAGGGCAAGGGCGACCGCTGAAGAGACAAAAGGCAAGAGCCAAAAGCCTGTGGCAAGAGGGAGCTGGTGGGGCTTTTGTGCTGGTACATATTAACCACGACTGTGCACCTGGCTGGCCACAGAGACTCGTCTTATGTCATGTCCCAAACGCACCAAGCACAGTTGGTTGGCCGCTTGGCCGCCAAGGTGTCATGGTGTCTACCAGATTCTAAGGTAGCGTGCTAGGTGCAGGCCGTTCATAGCGCAACCACTCCCCCAAGTGACGCAAAATGTGCCATTTTTTCCTCTCGCCCCTCTCCGAGGACGGTCTGCTGCTTCAAACGCTGCCCCGCCATTTTTTTGCAACCACTCGCCATCCCGAAGCATCATATTTTGTCTTTCGCTTTTCATTCTTCCCATTCTAAAGGGCACACTATTGAGTCTTCGTCTACCTTTTTTCGGTTCAATTCCGGCAACATCTCTCCTCAGCCATGTCGACCATTTCCGAAGTCTCGAGTTTGGCTCAGTGGGATCAGGTCCTTGGTGCCGCGGCGCCATCGACCCTCCTCGTCGTCTCTTTCCACGCACCCTGGGCCGCTCCCTGCGCGCAAATGGCCACGGTCCTATCCACACTCGCCTCCGAATACCCCGTCACGTCGCCGCCGAGCACGCAATGGTTCTCGATCAACGCCGAGGAGCTGAGCGACATTAGCGAGACGTACGACGTCACGGCCGTGCCCTTCCTGGTGCTGCTGCGCGGCGGCCAGGTCCTCGAGACGGTCAGCGGCAGCAACGCCGTCAAGGTGCGCAACGCCATCGAGTCACACGCGGGCAAGAGCCCAGAGCCCGGGACCGGTGCCAACGGAACCGGCGCCGCCGCCGCGGCTGTCGCCACCAACCAACCCCAGGCTGATCCCGAGACGGAAAAGGCGGATTTGTTCAAACGTTTGGAAGATCTCGTCAAGGCGGCACCCGTCATGCTGTTCATGAAGGGCACGCCCAGTTCTCCTCAATGTGGCTTCTCGCGACAGATGGTTGGCATCCTCCGCGAGAATTCGGTCAAGTACGGCTTCTTCAACATTCTGGCCGACGACGAGGTTCGTCAGGGTCTCAAAGAATATGCCGAATGGCCGACGTACCCTCAACTGTGGATGGACGGTGAGCTTGTTGGTGGTTTGGATATTGTAAGTATATTGTCGCGACTGTGTTTCCCATGTCGCTAACCAAAGTTGCGCACAGGTTAAGGAAGAGATGGAGAGCAACGGAGAGTTCTTCAAGGCGTACACGGCCGCGGCGGATGTTGCGGTAGCATGAAAACAAGGCGAAATGGCAGATACACCTGCCGCATGAAATCTGCTGCGCCAATTAACGAGGACGTCATCGAGACAGAGGGTGTATCATTTTCGAATACGCACAAAAATGGCGTACCATGGCCACATCACTTGTTGGGCGGTGCGCCTGAGGGGCCGCATCAACATGGATGGACAGAAATAAGCAATCCTCGACAGCCATTGATAATACTTTGGTGACTAGAATACCCAAACAGTTCACTTTACGTTCCGGATCTATGTACGGAGCTGACGAAAAAAACATCGAAAATATCATTATCGAAATCTGCAAGAAGGCCAAGAGGATAAACTCCGTATATATTTGATGCGGTGCAAGTCGTGATGAATAAATAGAGTAGTGCAAGATACGAAGTACACACATGGGGGCAGATTGATAAGAGCGGGCTATGGCGCCGTGGAGCGTCTGGTGTCTTTCCAGACGTGCATAGAACCCTATGAGGGTGATATTCATATCTAGGCATGTCTGTCTTGTGGTGTTTGAGAATGATAGTTATGTATACGGTGATTTTCTTGTTGAGTCAACGAACTTTGTGACATCAGATCTTTCAAAGTTATACTTAGATACTGACGGATAAAAAAACCAGCCAGACACATCTCATAAGTTCATAACCAGCCCAAGTGGTGACGAGTCCTTCTGTACCTGGGCATTTTGGAGTTCGTAAGCGCGCTACTCCAGATCAGCACTAGCGCCAGGCAGAGACCCCGTGCTGATTATTTGACCAATAAAAGTCCTCGGCCTTGGCTTAGCTAATCCACCCGTCTTCAACACCAAGCTCTTGATTCTCAGTGTGTGAGGACCCGACAGCCGGCCGCCAAAGGCACCAACAACGGCCGTTGCAGAACCCAGGTTGTTGGAGACCCTACCTTATTAATTACGACGAGATGTCTCAGGGTCTCCCATCACCTACAGTTCTCAAGATACGCACATGACGAGCTCCCAAATAGCATTTTTATAAAATTAAATTTCCCGCCTAGCTGACCCTGGTAGCTGTGCCCGCGACATCGTAGGGAGCCCTTATCACATTAAGAGTTCGAATTCTAAAACGCGGACTGATAATGCTCGTACGTCATGGGGGACTCGAGGTGACCAGCCAGTCTCATTGCTCACCACCTGGGTCATTGGTGGGTCTGGAAAAAAGGTGAGAGAAAATGGCTGACAAATGAAACTGGTGAGCGTTGTCGTTGGTAACAATACCATAGGCTACTGTGTCGCTGGGCCTGCTGCGTCTGAGCTTATTAGGGGACCCGTGCGTGAAGATGCCTGCATCTGTGAGTCACATCGATGGGTACATATCAGCGACTCCATTCAGCATGCGTGTGCAGAGGTAGCCTTGCGGCGGGATGAGGCCTAGTAGCGCGAAGTAATGAGCGTGCATATTGAGGCTATCGAGCATGAGCCTGTCCGTAGAGGCTGATAGGAGGCTCACGATGAAATTCAATTCTGAACATTTCCAAGTCTCGGAATCATCGACTTCCATCTCCTCCATCATAATCACCTGGTCTTCTGTCATGACAATTTATCTGCGCGTCCTGTTCCCCCACGACAACCTCGATGCTGCATCCGGAGTTTGCGGGCAAGTGCGTCCGACATCCGTTTATTATTAGCGTCAAAACCCCCTCCTTCCCTAGCTTTTTTTTTTGATAGTGGACTTGCCGCTACCTGCACAGCCAACCAGCGCCTCTCTTTTTGCCTTTTTGCCTGCTTTGCCCAACTCGTCGTGCCCTGCAACTTCAGCACTCGAAGTGGCTCCACTAACGCATCGCCTGCACCACCGCCACCCCCACCCACTACCAACTATCAGCCTGCCTGATATTTCATCGACGCTGACACCAATTACTTTTACCTTTGTTTTTTTTTTCTGCTTCTTCTATCTAATCGCATTTGACCTCTGTTTAATCGCACTCAATTCACGTCTTTTCCCGTTTTGATTGCGAGTCGAGCCCGTTCTGGAGACCTTCGTCGCAAACACCATACATGTTCGTCCTGGTGCTCTGACCACGCAACCCAATCAGCCAGTATTAGCATAGCTACACGGCGCCGCGAATCTATCCGACTACACAAGACTCGCCTGCATCAGTTCGCCCTGCGCGGGCACTCGACTGCGCAAGCCAGCCGTCACTGCCTTTTTTTTTTTCTTTAATCCTACACACACCATAGAGCCGAAACGGTCACGCGCGGGCCATTACCGATTCGAGTCTGCGTATTCGTCGCATAACCTACAGCTGGTGCTTGTAGTGCCTGGTGAAGCCAAGAGCTTCTTGCTCAGCACGCTCAGCCAAGGCTCCAATGCGTCTTGAGCAATTCTTGCTACATTCCAGTCTCCAATTATACACTTGGTTTCTCCAACGTCTGCCAGGACGACTCCATCTCCAGTGTGAAACTCGCTCCCCTCTGTTCCAATCGCCCCGCAGAGCCTCAACTCCTCCACTTGCACCTTCAGCATACTCAGTATCGCCAGGATGACACCCACTCCGCCCTCGACAAATTCCTCCACTGGCGCTCGCTCGCCAGAAGATAGCTTCAAAGTCGTCCGAAAACGAAACAGAGTCCCGCTCAGTTGCTATCCGTGCAGAACACGCAAGTAAGAATCACTTGACTCAACCCATATCCTGCGTCATGCTAACCTGTCAACAGATTGTGAGCTCCAGCAACTCGTTAAACGCCTCATCTCTCACTTATTACTAACTCCGTTTAGGAAATGCGACCGAAAACACCCTTGCAGCAACTGCACCAAACGTGAAGGCAACGACACCTCATCATGTACTTACGCCGCGCCCGCCTCCCAGAAAAAGAGCCCCAGTCAAGCGGACCTTAGCCCCGACGACATGCAGAATCGCATTGACCGTTTAGAGAACTTGGTGCTTTCTCTCATGCATACTGGTGGCAGTGACCCGTCTTCAGCCGTGGCAGCAGCCCGCGGCCAGTCAGTATCCCAGACAACTATCGACAGCACACCCTCTGCCAAGATGGAGCAAGACGATGGAACCAACGTTGGTGACGAAGGGAGCGACGATGAAGATGGCTTAACCGCCTCTCTCGGTATGCTTAAGGTGGACGCCGACAAGGGCAAATCAATGTACATTGGCCATGAACACTGGCACTCAATTCTTGCCGATATATCCGACGTCAAAAACTACTTTACCTTGCATCGCAAGGAGCTAGAAAACAGCTACGAACGTGTCAAAAACTCCAAGCCAGCCGCCGCGCGCGAAGGCCCTACACTTTTGCTCGGCGCTCAGCCGGCTTCAGAAATTGAGCTGCGCACTTCGTTACCACAAAGGACTCATGTTCTGGCCTTGTGTAGTCGATACTTTAACTCTATGGATAACGCCGTCAGTGTCATCCATGGTCCGACCTTCTTGCAGCAATTGCGAACTCACTGGCAAGACCCCAACAAGACGCCAATCATGTGGTTGGGCCTATTATACTCCGTTCTATCCTTGGCAATGCTGAGTTATAATAAAGTCGGCGACGAGCCTCCAGAGTGGAGGAACAAGAGCCTGGCCCTTGCTGACGAGTATCGCCTACGGACTGTTCAGTGCCTTATCAAAGGGGATTACACAAAGCCCGTTGATTACACGGTAGAGACGCTGTTATTATATGTTCTGGGAGAATACTCGACCCGCTGGGATGCTGATTTGGGCCTGTGGCTTATCGTCTCCATGATCACCCGTATTGCCATTCGTCAGGGATATCATCGCGATGCGAAATGGTTTCCATCTCTAAGTCCGTTTCAAGCAGAAATGCGCCGGCGAACATGGGCTCTCATTCGCATGTCAGACATTGTCTTTTCTCATCAGGTCTCACTGCCAAGCATGATCAATGAGCGAGATTGTGATGCGCAATTACCAAACAATTTGTTCGACGACGACTTTCACCAGACCATCAAAGAACTCCCGCCGTCTCGCCCGCTGTCCGAACCGACACCGATCTCTTACATGATTGCCAAAGCAAAACTCTGCTTTGAGCTGGGCAACATTCTGCAGGCCACAAATCGCCTCGGCAAGGGGATGCCCTACGATGAGACTCTGCGATTCGATGCAAAGTTGAGACAGGTCATGCAAGAACTGCCGCCTCACCTGAAGCTTACCCCTTTGGAAGGCTCCAATGATCCAGTGACTCTTATCGTCGCTCGATTCAATGTCAATGTTCTGTACCAAAAGATCATGTGCCTGCTTCATCGCCACTACATGGTCAGGGCAAGACAGAATCCGCGATACGCTCACTCACGCCGTGCCGCTATCGAGGCATCAATGGAAGCCATGGACCACCTTTCCACTCTGCACCGCGAGTCTCAGCCTGCTGGTAAGCTTCGCGCCGTCAGCTGGTACGTCAAGTCAATTGCGACCAAGGAGTTTATCCTCCCCGCCATGCTCATCGTAATGGACCTGCACTACGACAACATGGCCATGCAAAACAACGCCAGCCAGGACACGGAAGGTTCGTTTGTCTGGGACAATGAAAAGCGCGTCAAGATGGTCAGCTCTCTGCAGCAGGCAGGCAGCATCTGGTCGAGTCTGGCCGATACGTCCATGGATGCGTTCAAAGCGTCTAAGATTCTCGAAATCATGATGGATAAGATTAAGACGCCCGTCAGCAGCAGCGAAAACACACCCGAGTCGCGCACCGATTCTATCTCCATGGGCGTGCCTCCCTTCACATTTGACATGGATTCCCTTCCATCAAACCCGCAGTCAATCCTTTCTTCAGCGGGCCTGGTCGACCTGAGCCCCGAGAGCAACAATGCCTTTTCGACGACGTTCGACGCCGGCCCATTCGTCGGCATGGACTTTGGCCTGCCGCCTGTCAGCATGGACATACCCATGGATGGTCTGAACCCATTCAGTACCACCGGCGGGCCTATGTCGCCGCTGAGCATGTTCACGACGGTAGGCAACGGTCTTGGCGCGGATGGTGGCGCCGCCGATTTTGCCGCCAACATTGACTGGGTAAGCATCAGGACTATAAGCAGGTGTTCGAACCAAATCTGACTGTCTGTTTATAGAATACGTTTGACAATTACGCGCAGATGGCAAACTGGGGCGTCGATCAGAGCTTCCAGGTTTACGCCGAGCAGCCTGATCAGATAGGCGGCGTGAATCCCGCCAAGATGTAGTTTCTCTTTTGCCCCTTGGCCCTTTTCAAGGCCAATTTGTATAACTGGGTGGTTTGTTGTTGCTTTTCTTTTGGTCTTTATGTAAAAGTTCTGCGATATCCCTGCGATTCATCCTTGTTTCTGGGCTTGTCGAGTTATAGGCACTTGAGAACAGACGTCTTTTTGGAAAAGCGGTTTCTGATTAGGTTTTTGGTTTGGAATTATTCCAAGATGTACACAAACACGTTCAAAATGACGCTCTACTCAATCTCATCGCAAGATAGCTTCCAGCAACAGATGCGTATTCGGTTTTCTTGTGTATTCTTGTAAAGTGTAGAGTGTAAAGTCGGCAAAAGTAACAACATAGAAGCCAAGAGAAGCGTTCGAAAGGGGAAAAAAAGACGTAGAGATTTTCTTTTTACATGATCAGCGTACACACAATACAAAAATAACAGGCGCAGAGAAGAACAAAAGGAGTCCACTACACAATGCAACCTCTAAGAAAAGCAACCGTTTTCTAGCCTGTTGCTTTCCGTCGCTGAGTCCCCTTATTCTTTCCTTCTCGTAATCTGTCCCATTCATCCAATTTCCTGCTCTTCTTGTTGTTACAAAAACAGCATTGGATGCCAAATCTTCCTTTTCTAGACATCGACTTGTTCGCCCATCAAGACACGACGCGAATCGACGGGGATGCGTTAAAAAAATGGTCCATGAAGGCTCCTTTCAACTCCCTCTCCAGTCCACTCTTCGCGTAGCGGTCAACGCGCAACTCTTTCACAGCACCTCGCCAATTATCTTGGCCGCTTCGCGGTACGTCTGTAGGAGCTTCTCGCACTTTTCGCGCTCCTTCTTGATACCGTCGTCCTCATAGAGGAGCTCCTCAAAGAGTGACTCCTTGTAGAGTTCGCTGACGAGTCGGTTCTGCACCACCTCCTTGCAGTGGTTGACAAGCAGGTGCATCACCGCCTTGGGCACCTGGTCAGCAATGGATTCGCGCACAATGTTAAAGTAGGACGAAATGAGCGCGCGGATCAGCTCCGTCTCCATGGCCTCGCGGTCGGTGAGTGCGGGCTCGTTGGACTCGCCCTGATTGTGTTGTTAGCAAAGTACTCACACGTTCTTCTACAAGCTCGTTGACGCTGTGCGAGCGAAGCGAGGAAGCAAAACAACTTACGAGATGGGACGCGAGGCCGTAGCTACGCGACGTAGGGTCGTAATCGTCGTCACGCACTGTTGGTGCAGGACGGACAGCAATCTTTTCTTCGCGACGCAGGCTGCTGGAGAAGCTGGGCTCGTTGTGCTGACGCCCGTTGGTCAGACCACTCGGGGCGTGCATGGGTGAAAGACCCTCCTTGCCAAAAAAGTAGTTTAGGAACGTGTCCTTGGCGCCACCGAGGCCCTGACCGTTCATGGGTGAATGAGGACGGCCGTTGACAGCAGCAGCGAGACTGTTGTGTCCTTCATGAACAGCAGGCGAAAGGCTACGCGAGTGCTTGCTATGCTTTTGCGCTTCCTTGTCCCCGTCTTCTGTCTCCTCGATCTCGCCATTAGTGCCGAGCTCCTTGAGGCGCTTGCGCTCTCTCCTTTCACGCTCTTCCTGAATCAGCCTCTTACGCTCGCGGTCTTGCTTCGCGTTGACGACATTGCTCATGGCTGCCGCGGCGCCGAGAAAGTTGGGGTGGTTGGTATTGATGTAGGCGCGTTGGATCGAGATCAGCGACTCGACGTAGGTGGACGAAGGGCCTAGACGCTCGCGCAGGAGGTCTGAAACGGTCTCGATCAGCTTGGCTTGTAATCTAGGGAACCTTGAGAGTTCTGTTGAGCCGCAGGTGTGGCAAATCTTAATGAGCTCTTCATACACCAGCTCAACGCAGCGCTGGCTGGGGATTTCGAGAAGCTTGATCTGAGGCTTCACCAACAGATCAAAAGCCATCTCGGGAACGAACAAGCTGGGTCGGGGACCGGTAGAGTTTCTGATGGCAGTTCTAATGTCAAGAGCGGTGAGATTCGATGTTGGGTCGATCGATTCGAGAGAGCTGCCGAACACGGAGTTGAAAATGTAGTAGATGCGGGCACCGCCGCAGAGCTCCTTGGTGGAAATTTCCGTCGAGGTACCATCAATAGAAGAGATGAAAGAGCTTGCGAATCGGGTCATGAGTTGCAGAATCAAAGATCCGCGATGCTCCTTGCCACTGAAGTGCATGTCGCCGTAGCTGGCGAGCTCCTGCTGGGTCTGTCCCATTAGGGTGTTGAGGCGGGCCTTGATGTCGGGCAGGCGTTCGCGAATATGTCCCATGAGGGTTGTGTTGAGGGTCCTGGCCAGGAACCGCGTGCCGCAGCGTGTGGCAATGTTGCGGTAAGCAGGATGGTGCTTGAAGAAATCCATTTCGTCATTAAGGGCTTCCTCCATGGGCTTGTTGCCCTGGATATCCTGTTGCGAACGATTGACAACCCCGATGAAGCCCAGCTTCAAAGGGTAGACACGTCCGGACAAAATGTCCAATGCGTTAGTCCCATGATCCATCAAGTCGAGCTTGGTGAGAACACCAATGGTTCGACGGCCGAGAGGATCGACATGACGAGCCAGCTTGAGAGCTTCCGAATTGACAATGTCGACGTTGGCGGGCGAGACAGCAAGGATGATACTGTTAGGCTTGGCAATGTATTCTGAAATCAGGTTACGAGTCTGCTTCTCGATATCGGTCGGTTGATCGCCAATGGGAACCTATGGAACAGGTCAGAATCTGGGCCGGGATTAAAAGTCTTGCCAGTGGCGCGCCGTACCTTGGTCAGGCCAGGAAGATCAACCAGAGTCAGGTTGAGAACATGCGGCGAGTAGATTTTCAGGTTGATGGGCTGTCTGTTAATTCCCTTGTTTGAGCCAGCGACACGAGATGTCTCGTTTTCAATCTCGCGCTTGACATCGGAAAAATCGTTGAAACGTCGGTTGGGAATGTGGTGGAACTCTGCCCACTCAGAGCGTCGCGCACTGTCAGGAGAGCGGAAGCGGTCGTCTGTCGGCTGGGAAGCGTTCTCATCCTCGGGTACGTTGATGAGTTGCAGAATAAGAGGACGCCGAGTAACAATGCCACTTCCTCTGGGTAGAAAATCTCGGCCAACAATGTTTTCGAGGACAGATGATTTGCCTGCGGATTGAGAGCCGACGACAACCTATTCAAGCATGGTCAGCGACTGGGGCAAATTTGTTGAGAGAGACCAAAGAAGTATCAAATTACAATTTGTGGAAGGTCAAGAGAGTCACTGCCGATGGTGTTGAAAACCAGGTCTTGCAATTTGTTGACTGTGATGAGCAGGTCCTCGCCGAGGGCTGCCATTGTAGCGGTGGTTGCGGAGGCGTTTGCGCCGGAAAATAGATGCGACAGATCGTGAGAGGGGCTAGAGTTGAATCATGGAATTCCTGTCGACCGCCAAGACACAGACGATGAATTGCGCTTCGCTTTGCGTCGCTTCTCGGAATGGTTGGACTGCTGGCGTCGATGCGATTCACGTGTAGCCGTAGGTAGCCCTTGCGCTGTGGCACGGGAGTACGGGAGTGCGAATGTGTGGCGCGGCTTGCAAAATACCCACTTGCCACTCATGGACTCATGGGGGCAAAGCCACAGCGAGGAGATGTGTTGCTGTGCAGGAAGCAAGGCATAAAAAGAGGGGCACTACGCCAATTTCAGCCGCTTTGTGAACGCGCACCCAACGACTTGCTTGTGCCTGACTGCTTATCGAGTGGCACGGTTCAAAATTTGCACAATGGCACACTGCAAAATGCCGCGCCAGTTGCGTCATTGATCTTTCCAGATAAAGGAGTCGTTCGACAACATAATCACCCTATGGCTTGCTGTGGGCATCTAACAATACATTGTCGATAACACACGCCTGTATGCCCGACACCAGCCACAGCACCGCCATAGCTGTCACTAAATTGTGGCGCCACAATCCCAACTGCTTTTTACCAACACTCACTCCATCTGTTTCATACAGACAGCTTCATACATCGAAATCATGAGTACTTTCGGAGCCCCAGGACAGCTTCCATCGACAAAACCGGCACCGTAAGTGACTCTTATGGCGCCAGCACTCCCTCGTTACATGGCTCTCTTGAATTAACAAGCGACTTTAGGCCACAGCGCGGAAGTTTCCCACTTGATCACGATGGTACGTGGCTGGCGTAGAGGTGGCCAAGTCATCTTGCAATTGATACTTATTATGCCGTGATATTAGGCGAATGCAAATCTGTCATGTCAGAGTATCTGGCATGTATGAAAAAGGCTCGAGGCGTCAACGAGCATGAATGTCGCAACCTAGCAAAGTCATATCTCTCTTGCAGAATGGATCGGTAGGATGTCGCTACAATCTACGGTCCCTCAAACTTTTTACTAAACAAAGTCCAGAAATCTAATGGCCAAGGATGACTTCAAAAACTTAGGTTACGCAGATGATTCGTCCAAGACGTCGGCGACTGGCGGAGAGCCCGAACAAGGCGTCAAGGGAGAGCTACGATGGTAGTGCAAGGGTTATTTCTGTAAACGATTTCATGACCTGTATATTAACATATTTATCCTTCATCTCATTTTGTCTCCCTTCATTCTTCCTGGCCGGTATATGTGGTACCGGACTCGGAACCCGCTGTCTGATAAGTGGTTGCCGTGGACGGTAGGTGGAGCGGACAAATCTTCATCGACCGACAAGCCGCCTAGGCACCTAGTCAGAGCGTTGCCTAGTCAACCCCCACTGTGACAACCCTAGTCAGCTCAGGCAAAGTACATAGTGATTATTACCCGACCTCGCTCCGGTTCACGAATATTCAGCGCCCAACGGTCACAACCCTTCCTAATCACTTTGAACCTTGCTACCACTCTAAATCGTCAAATATTAAAGTTCGCAACTTTTCCACTTCAATCACGCGTAATGTGGACTTCGCGCGAGCAGCGGCCGCGCAAGGTGACGCCGCCGTCACCTTCGTACATGAGCAAGGACCAGATGGGTAGGACGCCCGCGGGCGCAAGAAAGCGGCGGCTTTCCGACGTGCATTGCTGACCACTGCTTCACTTGCAGCCAACTACCTCGCCGACTTGCGTACTAACCGAACGCCGCGGCCTGGAGGTGCCCGACCTCAACCTTCGCATCCTACGGAACCGTCACGATCGCTCGCCGGACGATTTAGCCTCGATGCTTCGTCACTACAATCACAAACTAGCAAACAACCCGATCATAAACGCTTACCTTCTCACGCACCGAGCGTCGGCGCATTCAGCATGTCATCTCGTTATTCTACCATAAGCGGTCGGGGCCGGGATTATTATCCAAGCAAGCCCACTGCAACGGGTCCCCTCAAGCCATCCGAAGTTGTGCCTACGGCCACCTACATGGAACGAGGTCAACGATGGATGGAAAAGGAAGAAGCATTCTCTCTCCGCGATGCTATGGAGCAGATGGATGTACGGGACAACACGGGACGTGAGACCCCAGACGATGAGAGCCGCATATATCAGGCTGCCCTGGATGAAGCTGCGGAGCTGGTTTGGCAGCATCAAAACGGAGGCGGTGAAGCCCCCCGTCCAGATGGTCCTTACCGCTACCGCCCGCATCTCAGAAAGAACAGCTATGCTCATGCTCGCACCGCTAGCATCGGTACTTACGGCAACGACATCGTTTCTACGGGCATGCGACGTGACATCGGCTACCGCTCTGTAAGCAATAGTTCGAACGAGAGCGAAGTCAACAGATCCAGCATTCGTCAGTCTTCAGATCTGAGCCAAACTATCGTTATTTCCAGCGGTCGCGGCAGCCAGCGCCGCAAGACCTATGGTGGCATTGGACTCGGCAGTGCTTCAGGTAGCAGACGCAAAAGCAGCATGAACCGCAACATCAGCGGAGAGGTCAACAATCCCTTCTCTGCAGATCAGATCTGGGAAGAGCCAGGTACCACGCCCAAACGGCCGATTTCCGATATGGTCCCCCCGTCGCGCCGAACTCTTGCCAGTGCGACGCAGAACCCTGCAGGCCAGCGTAATCCTGCCGTCATTGCCGAGGATCCTATGGCAAAGCCTCGAAATCGAGTTGAAATTCATCATAACCCTCCCAGCCAATCTCACAACGGTCTATACACAACCAATGCACGGACTACTTCGCGACAAGATGATCTGGTGGAACGCAAGCATGGGGTTGAAGTTCGCAGCAAGGATATTCGTGAGGCAACGAGCATGCGACTGAAGGATCGAAGTGCAAGGCTTCCCGAACCTAGTGCCGTTAGCGACAGTCCGGGCCGGCCCATTGTAAGCTTTGATACCAATTGGAAGCCCGCGGGCGACACCACTGATGCCAAATCAGGCCGTCAGGCAAGTCCGGCGACGACGTTCGACAGGCGGAAATCGCAGCCCCTCCCGGGCTGGAAGCTGGTGGATGTCCCTTCGATCCTTGTTCCTGGGCAAGGCTCACCGCGTATCCAACCACGGGCTCAGCCGCGGGTTCAGCCGCCGGCTCAAGCAGAGATCCCTACCATGAGCATAGGTGGTGATGGTGGCTCTTCAGGCAGCAAATCTATCCCAACAATCGACATCCCGACGATTGCTGTGGATGATGGCACTCATAGCGGCGGTTCCGTGCCTACCATCAACATCCCGACTATCTCTGTGGGTGACGACGAAGGTGCTTCAACTGTCAACATTCCCATGATTGTCACCCCGGACGACGAAGCAGCTACCAGCAAATCCACCGGCAGCAAGTCGGTTGACAATGCGAGGGTACTTCCGACCCCCGCGTCCCGCCATATGAAGCAGCGTCTGAACTCAAGGCAGCGTAGCCATTGGTCTCCTGCGCCAGACGCTAGGTTCCGAGACAAGACGCTATGCCATGAGTGCTCGTTTCCCATTGAAGGTAGATTTGTTGCCCTGGCCGGCGTCTCCGAGCGCTTTCATCCCCAGTGCTTCACATGCTTTACGTGTAACATTAGTTTGGAAGCTATGGAGATTAGTCCCGAACCAGAAGTCGCGAGAAACGCACGGTTAGACCGCATCCAGCGCCGGCGAGCCGGCGAGGAAATCGAGGAGGTGCCCGGCGCGACCGAGAGAGAGGACGGGGACGAGCGCCTCCGATTCTACTGCCACCTAGACTGGCACGAACAATTTGCACCGAAGTGCAAACACTGCAAGACGCCGATCCTCGGCGAGCACATTGTCGCGCTCGGCGAGCATTGGCACTACGGGCATTTTTTCTGCGCCGAGTGTGGCGATCCCTTTGGGCACGGCATGACGCACATTGAAAAGGACGGCTACGCGTGGTGCATCAATTGCCAGACGAAGCGGACGGAGCGCCGCGCGCCCAAGTGCAAGCGCTGCAAAAAGGGCGTCGTCGGCCAGTACATTCAGGCCCTGGGCGGCGAGTGGCACGACGAGTGCTTCCGCTGCGCCGAGTGCAAGGGAGGGTTTGACGACGGACAGGTGTTTCCTCGCGATGACGGCAGCATCTTGTGCACAAGCTGCCGCATGATTGAGCTCAAGCGATGATTTGTTACGACAGACCGAACGCCTCTGCTCTTCAATGTTTGGAATTGCTCATGGTTATGATATGTTACAACTATACGTTTTGCATGCAGCTGATGCGATCCTTCTGGCTGGTTGGAATTTGTTGACGGTCGCAGCCTGTTATACTTGGTCTTTGGTTTATGCATATGATTTGGTTTAGAAATGTCGGTTTGCGCGTGGAGTTTTCGTTTGATATTACAATGCGAGGTCATCTTTTGGTTTTCGCACATGGATCAACATACAAGTAAAGCCATGGGATATTAGATGTGACTTTGACTATCTAGATGTCCAAATGGCCTCCGAGGTTGCACTGAAGCAGTGGTAGAATAAAGGCAGCAAACAGCCTATCACATGCGAAACATTTGTAGACCTCTAACGCGTTGTCAACACGCAGAGATCTGTTTCGGGAAAATATAAGAAAGCAGTGTAGACATGTGGTCCGAAGCTGGTTACAAGGACCATTCCTCCCAAACGCCGCATGGTTGTAGTAACGTCATCTCATACAGTTGTTATGTCGGGTTTTTCTCTTGTGGGCGTCTAAAAGCCAGCACCGCCGAGCTGCTCCTGGTGAACTTCGAGCGTGTCGCCGTCCGCCATTTCAAGCTATAAATTCATATTAGAAATAAGATCCTTTTTCAAGTACAGTGGCCAACTTGAAGAGATTTCGCTGCTGAAGGCTGGTGACTGGCAAAGACTTTGGAAGAGTAGACGTACATTGTCAGGCGTGTCGGACGGCTGGACTCGCGTTCCATCGAAGAGAAATCGCACAGCCGTCATGGATTTACCCTGGCGGTCGCAGAACGCCGTCATAAGCTTCTCGAGCTTGGTAGTGCGCTTGATCTTGAAGAAGATCTCGTTGTGGTTGTCCGTCACCTTGATGTTCAGGTGTTCCGTTCCAGCGGCAGGGACCTCGCCGCCGGGAAGACCGCCGTTGTCCTCAGCCATATTGTAGATTTCCTTTTTCAACGATGTCACGATACAAGTTGATGACTATTTGCGCCAGGCGTCGAGGGTATGCGTGGGCGTATGAGGAGCGTTGCGGGGGTAAGGGAGTTGCAGAAGTCGGAGAACGAAAGAGAAGTCACGACCGTATCAGGCTGGCTCGTCGTTTGGCCCTCTTTTGGCGGGCGACGCTTGAAAGAGAAGGGTGGGGGAGCGTGTGCCTAATTGGCTGGACGGAATCTATTTACTGGGTAGATGAAGCAGGTGGCGACGCGCCGCTGACTAACGGAGAGAGGCGACTGAAGACTGCTTGCTGGAGCAACGTGCTGGCGGCCCCTGGAACAACAGCGGTGTTCATATACCTGAGATGTGCGACGCAGTGAATTGCTGCATCACAGTAACTTGAGTTTGCAGCAGAATATCTCACTTTCTGCTACCTTTCTGGCAATGATTCATGATCAAGTGAATCATGTCATTTTAGACTATCAACGTTAAGAGTTCATAGCAAGCTATGCTCCGAGGCAGCCCCCTTCGGTGGAGTAATACCGAGCCCTTCCGTTGCTTGCCTTCGCCGAAGCTCTGACGTCGTCCAAATCTCACTTACCTTAATTCTCTGCCATCTCAACCAGCGCATAACACATTAACACATTCACAGATAGACTTTGCTTGGCCTGTGTCAACTCAGTCGTCCGACCAATCCTACGCGGAAGCATTTGATCGACTTAATACCTCGCAGACCGTATCCGCCATGGTATGTTTCCGCGTCCACGGCATGTTTTTGTAAAAGCTGCCCGGTCAGTACCTACTGACTTCCTCGCAGGTTGGGAGAGATGATGTCGAGGCCAAACCGCCTTGCCACCCTCGCGCAGTAAGTCATCTTCTTTTTCTAGGCCCGCGGTAGCCAAAGACTGACCCTCGCACGACGTAGTGTGCAATTCAAGGTGTGTATAGTGAAAACGTGCAATCGAGCTTCCGCTCACGCACCCAGACTGCTTGACAAAGAACAATTACAACGAAGCCAAGTGCCAGGATGTTATCAAGGCTCTATACACATGCTGTGAGTCCTTCTACGAACGGTATGGTGACGATGCCTTGTCACCCAGCTGTCCCAAGCCGAGTCTGCTTCGGCTCAAGATGAAGCAGCTGAACGGGAGTAAGTGAGGGACATTATTGCAGATTAATATTTTCCCGGCGCTCGTAACTTAAAGTTTTGAAGTCGGTCATCCTTTGGATATTACATCAGTTATATTCATGGGCAAATTCCTTAGAACAGTTTAAAAAAAAAAACTCTTATGTGACGCGCATCTTCGTTTGTCCACCAGTAGAGAGATATCAGGTAACGTTGGGATGAGCGCCTGGGAGTTTTTCTAGGCGATCATTGAGCACGCAAGAGATCCTCGTGGGACCTGAACAAGAATTGAAATGTCCTGTTCCGAGACTCTAAGATGAATGCCGATGACATTATGTGAAGAAGAAAAGAGAAAAAGAGCACGCAGCGCTGGTGCAAAAAATTGCTGTGCCCAAGTAAGGGCTGGCGCTCGCTTTGTTGCATATTGCTGTAACGGGTTCGTAACCTGTAATACTGATCACAGAGATCAATTACGAGGAAAGTTTGCGTGCCTAGCGGTAGAAGCACTGTTGGTGGCGATTTTTAGCCAATTTCCGTTTTCTCCTTATGTTTGCAATCCTGTATATGTAATGCATGTCGTGTTTCTAAGATCTTCCACTAGAATTGTCCCGAAATTACTTCACAAGTGAAGCTACTACATGGCTGTTTACTTTACTTGTCTCGGGAGATACGCCCACTACCTAGAATGGTCAGAAAAGAGAAAGAAGGAAGTATGAGTTGAAAAAATAGAGTTTGATATTTACAAAAGCTCGATGACAATCGTTTACTTACGTTAATCTGCTGTACTCCCGTAGTCATGCTGCTGCCACTACGCGTGTAGCTGTTGTCCCCACCCACTGGCGCCTACTTGGTAGCTCAAAGAGGTCGCCCGCCCAAAATATTGACCTCTGCAGTGCCTTGATTTGAGACCCTGCTCGTAAAATCTCGACAGCAAGCCAACGCAGTGGCGCGAGTAAAGATTTGCCGCACTGTTCCTGATACATAGGATCTGGGATTAGCGACCTGTTAGTGCGTCTCTTGAACCGTACGCAAGTGGCACCTGCGTCACAACAAACGAGCGAGCTCCGACGAGCTCTGCGCAGCAGGCTCAAGGCGTGCCAGCAACATCGCGCTGGCACGACGACGACGCATCGCAGTGCATCAAACTAGCGCCCAATCTCTAGAAGAGATACTTCGTATCGGGATAGGAAGATGGATCGATACACGGGCCCTGTCGAGGCAGGCCCCGAGGTTGAAGAATTCGCCAACGCGCTCGACGAATGCCTTTCACCGTTCCTCGCGCCGGCGGAAAAGAAGGAACGATTGTTAGACCTCCCACGCAGATACTACGAAAATGCCCTTCGACGGCTAGCGACGAAAAAACCGAAACGCGTCGGCGGTAGCCACGATGACATTGATATGGATATTGACGACGCTGACGAGACTGGCTCTGCCCTCAGCGCCGACGAGACAAAGCGTATAGAAGGGGAAATTCAGACGTGGGATCTCGTTCGACGCCTTTTGCCTCTGCGTCATGCCGCATTGAGAGCGAATCCCTTCGATGAAGGACAACACAGCCGCGGCTCGGGCGACCTGCTGCGTGATTTTTTGCGACGCAACCCTGTCGCGCAAGAGCGCCACGCTGTTCTCCAATGGCTGCAGACGAATGCCGCCGCCGGCCCGGACATTGATACTATGGTAGAGGACCTGCAAAAGAATGCCGATCGCGGAGACGTCATCGCTCATGGCTGGCTACACACACGATCCAAGATCAAGCTGCGCAAGAGCATGACGGGCTGGTCCAAACTCCTTGAATGTCAGACACCTAGCATCGCCGAATCACATCTCAACTCAGATGGTGCACCTCTCGTGACGAACCTGGATCCCGACGCCGTGACCCGCCAAGACCGAAAGCTGGAACCTCAAGACGAGTACTTCGAGCGAGCAATTTGGCTAGGCTGCTTTGAGCACCTCCGCCGAGGAAGCAACTTGGAAGAGATACGAGACTGGTGTCAGGAGAGGACGGAAATGTGGCGAGCTGTCTCCATGTCCGCCGTCCTCTTTTCGTCGGATGAGAACCAGGAGAAGATTGATGCGGCTCCAGAATCTCTCGCACTGTGGCGCCGCATGTGTTATGCTCTCGCTCGCAATCGTGTGTCCGATCAGCACGAGCGCGCTGTCTACGGTATTCTCTCTGGCGATGTAAGCAGTGTCGAAAGCGTAGCAAAGAAATGGGATGATTATCTCTTCGCGCACTACAATGCTCTGCTACGAACACAGCTAGACTCTTTCATCCTCGGCAAATGTCCTGCGGATGTGGCTTCGAATTTGACCCAATCATTCCCGGTATTTGATTCTGTGCAGTTTCATGGTAATGAATCTGTCGAGAAGAGACTGATGCGGTCACTGGAAGCGAAGCCCACAATCAAGGACGAAGCCCAGGAACCCACCAAAGCTCTCCAAGCGTCTCTCATTGCTAATGACACGGGCCACCACTTGTTCCAGCAAGGCCTGCTGATTGAACTTGGTAACCCTACTAAGAGCTTTACAGCAGCGATGGTCGGCGACGAGCTTGCCAAGCACAAATACTTCTCTCTGGATCAGCACGATGGTCTGAGACTCGTCACGCACATCTACATTCTTTACTTGCTCATGGAGCAACAAGATGCCGATGACAACCTGCCGACGGAAAAGCAGCCACCAAACTGGCGCTTCACGCAAGAGTGCATCGTTGGTGCGTACGCTGAGTACTTACGGCACGCCAGCCTACAAGAGCTTATCCCTCTATACTGCTCTATCGTGGAAGCCCCACGATGTTACAAGATCCTGTCCCAAAATCTCATCCACGAAAAGGAGCACGACCAGCGTCTAATCCAGCTCAAGCTGGTCAAAAAAGCTGGCATCGACGTTCTCCAATTTGTCCAGGAGCAAGCCAATCTCATGTATCACGAGCTCACAATCGACCTCGAGCTGGCGCACCGACCGCCACCCGAGATCCATTTCAGGATTGTCGACGCCGGGCGCTCAACATCACGCCAAGGACGCGCGATCAAGCCTGACTTCTTTGGTGAGGAAGAGGATGCAATCGAAACCAAGGATGAGCACCTCATCCGCTCTATAGAGTGGTTGGCCCTCGTTCACGAGAAGTGGCCCATGGTCCTATCCATGGGTATTAAGGCGTACAAATACTTTCTTAGTAAGTCACGATATCCTCGCCGCTCAGTATAGATTCACTAACCGCGATAGCGCACATGCACCTCAATGCGGCGAGACAGCTAATGAGGCGCGTCGCCTTTAGTGACATACTTCGTGGGCTAATGGAGCAGGACGAAGCGGAGACGCCGCAAATTGAAGATGTGCGATTTTGGGAGGACCAGCTGGAGAGAAGCAACATTCTCGATGGAAAGCCTGAGCAGGTCATCTCTGACGCTCGCAATTTCCGCGATCTTGAGGCGATAGTTGCAGCGCTTGACAGCCTGGAGACGATCGCATCGCTGGTGATTCTTTCGGCAGAGTACGGAACCCTCATTCTAATGGCGATGTTGTCTGCTAACATGTGGCAGAATGCCTGCTACAAACCGGAAATTCTGGGCTAGTGTTGGCGATGGCATTAAGGCTGCCAAAGATAACATGCAACCCCTTCTAAAAGGCTGGCTCGTTGCTAGCATAGCTGGTAAGCATTGAGCTTCTCACAGAAGCCCGGCGACACGAGCTGACAATGAAACAGAAGGCGACGAGGAACTGAGCAGAATTCGCCGCGAGTATCTTCCCGAGACGATCCTCGCTTACATCAGCGCGCTGCACTTTGCGGG